TTTGACAATAACTCCCTTACTGTACGTACAATAAACTAATAAGTTCAAGAAAAAATTACTGTAATTCCCCTAAAGTATTTTTTCCCTTTCCAAGGGCTGTAGTGCTTTCCCAGTGACCACACTGACTTACTACAGGTGAAATTTTGACAATAACTCCCTTACTGTACGTACAATAAACTAATAAGTTCAAGAAAAAAATACTGTAATTCCCCTAAAGTATTTTTTCCCGTTCCAAGGGCTGTAGTGCTTTCCCAGTGACCACACTGACTTACTACAGGTGAAATTTTGACAATAACTCCCTTACTGTACGTACAATAAACTAATAAGTTCAAGAAAAAAATACAGTAATTCCCCTAAAGTATTTTTTCCCGTTCCAAGGGCTGTAGTGCTTTCCCAGTGATCAGACTCACCTACTACAGGTGAAATTTTGACAATAACTCCCTTACAGTACAATTATCAAATATATTTATGTAATAAACATTATTACATGTGTTTATTACATATGTTTATGTAATAAACTATAATTGACCTATAGTGTTTTTTAAATATATTGCAATGGTTGTAGTAATTTCCTAGTGATCAGACTGACTTACTACATGTTGAATACTGCCTATGCCGCACTGTAAGTATACTACAATAATATTATTTTGAAAAATTTATTCCAAAATTATTCCATGTTCCAGAGGTTATAGCATGTTCCCAGTTATCACTCTACTCAATTAACTTTGATCAATGTATTAGGTAAAAGTATGTATTAACTGCTGTTCCTTGTACAACAAATTTCTTTCATTGATTAAAGATGTAGTGACCTGATTCAATGAATTCTTTCAGTGTCTAATATCGGATTGAAAAGGGTGACATATTATAGTATTCAGAACTGTGATTTTACAGCAAAGTGCCAGCAGTGTTGCTATATCAGATACAATTAAGGATTTTACAAGCAGTGTTCACAAAAAGTTTTTATCTATGGCTTTACTAAAACTAACATAGACATCAAGAATCAGCATATTAATCTCAACAATGGTGACCATTAAATAATGATTCATGCTGCAATGCATGCTGGGTACTAGCATAATACAAAACTTATCCATGGCTCCCAGCATGCATTGCGGCATGAATCACTTTGGTCACCATTGTTGAGATTCATATGCTGATTATTGATGTCTGTGTTAGTCTTAATGCAATTGATGAAAACTTTTTGTGCACAAACTGTTTGTAAAATCCTTTCTTTTATCTGATAGTCATAGATTTTTTTTATAATCTAATATACATAACATATATCTTCAGGTCTAATTTAAATAAATAGGCAAACCTAATAATACATCACTTGTTCAGTCAGAGATTAGACTCTGTAAAAGTTCAGTCAACATGTCATTAAAAGATGAATTTCATCATCAAAGCACAACCATTGACACCTGATCATACTTTCTTTTGACTTTTGTGCCATTACAAAGGTGTTTTATAAACACATGAGTTACAGCAGCCAAACACAAACTAATTTGCAAGGGTCAAGAGTCCAACTAAAACAACAGCTCTCCAATATGGTGACCTTGAACGAAACTCAATAAATCATCACCTTCTAAACCTCTGTCACTTCTTCTTGTGTCACTCCATCTATGTCTGACTCCGGTTTGACAATAAAAGGCTAAACGTTTTTGAAATTTTCAGTGCATGTTTGTTTGAGGTAAAAGGAAAGAACCTCATGAGGCTCCTCCCCTTGTGCTGGGAGCAGCAGCTCATTTGCATTTCAAGTTTTTCTTTCCTTCAATGATTTTGCTTGTTAACAGCAGGTGTTCATCACTAATGCTCAATCATCACTTAATTAGTCACTTAAATAATTGCTTAACTTCTTGACTGCAACGTATATCTTCTTTTTGTTTTTAAAATTCAATTAAGGTAATCGGTGTCCTCAAATGTAATGAGTTAGCTTAACGTGTTGGGTTTTACAGTGCACCTCTCAGATATCCAATACAGACATTAGATAATACATGAAATAACATTTTCGATAATCACACTGGTAATTTCTATAACAAAGTACAATCTCATAAGCCTAGAAAAGTCATTCAACTCATTTGATATTTAGAAGGAAAATATTGAATAATACCTTGATTAAATTTGCCATTAGATAGACATTGAAGCAGGAATGGATTCCAGATTTAAATCATTACAATAAGCTTGTTGCTTATTTATAACGTTAAAATATGATTAAGCTAAAATCTTTACAGTATTTAATCAATGAACGAAATGTGTTGTACCAGGAACAGCAGTTCTAATATCTACTTTTACCTAATACATTTATCAAAATTAATTGAGTAGAGTGATCACTAGAAACATACTATAACCTTTGGAACACGAAGAAACACTTAAGGTGAATTACAGTAATTTTTTCATAAAAAATGTGTATGTACTGTACTTACAGTAAGGCAGGTATTGGCAATATTTAACCTTTAGTAAGTTAGTCTGATCACTAGGAACATTCTCCAACCTTTGAAACATGAAAATAATGCTTTAGGGGCGCACAGTCAAAGACCCAGAACCAGATATGATGAATGAAGAGCATGAGTCAGAATTATAATAAAGAAAAGATTTATTGAAGATAGTTTTCAGTTTCATCAGCAGAAGTCAGCTTCAAGACTCTCACAGGAGTTCGTAGGCCGTTACAAAGATCACAGAATCACTAAATGAGCAAGCACTGTTACTGCTTTCAGATATCAAATACAGACATTAGAAAATACATGAAACAAACATTTCAGTAATCATACTGGTAACTTCTAGCCTATAACTAAGTAAAATCTCACATGCCTAGATAAGTCATTCCACTTATGTGATATTTAGAAAGAAAACCTTGATTATAATCACTCATTACATATACATTGAAGCAGCAGTTTATTCCAAAATCCACACCCTTCACCCCCAAAATAAACATCATGTTTGCTGTCATGCTTTCTGGGTACTTGTCAATAATCTGATGGATTCAGTACCACGGACAGTGATATTTCTGCAGGACTGTAAACATCAATCAATGCACACGAATTGTGTTATTGTGAGAGTTTAATGTTAATTGAAGATGCTATACAACAGGAAAACATAAAATACTGTTAGGTCATTCTTTTTATTCAGCACCTGGAGAACACTGTTACTCTGTAAAGTCTTTATTGCACTTAAAAACAGAAAAACCGAGGTGGATAAAACAGCAAGACATGGGCTGTAGTGTGTTCTGTAGGGTCCAGACAAGACCATCCAACTTGCTTTGGAACAGTCGGCCCATCCTTTCAAAACCTATTGAAATAAATCATATGTCATTATTAAAACCAACACCAACACTGTTCTTGTTCATTTTGATTTCAAATGAATAAATAAACATAAATATAAACAGATGTAAAATGAAGCGATTAACTATTTTCAGGAGATTACACATGATTTTCCACTTTCTACAGTCTGGATTGTTACCAGATTACAGTTAATGTTGCCTACATGTTCATTCTTTATTACACCTTTTTAAACACCATCATTATAATGCAGTTTTTATTGTTGCTAAAGGACATTCTATTGCATTAGAACACATAATGTGAGAGATATTTGCTGGTACATCTGTAGTTGGCTAAGATGTAGTTGTCTGTTTGCACACGATGAAAAACAATATAAACTTTTTAGACGGTCCCTATCTTGGTTACCACACTACATTGAATATTCAACAAAGTGTGTATGCATTAAAAATATACTTGCCCATTTTGATCGATTGTAGAAAATGTTGTAGTTCACAATCTTTGTTGTCAATATTGTGTAGCTGCTTCGAATCTGAAAAAAAAATTGCTTCATTGACTATTTAATTGAAAAAGTTCTTTAACGCGAATGTGCGAATATAAAACCAACTTTACCTAAGTGTCCCCGCATAGACAAGGCGGTGTTTCAAAGCCTAGTAAGCTGCCTACCTAGATCACTCGGTTGTGTCAGAACGTATCTGTGATTCCCAAAACTACTGTCCAAGGTAAAGAGCTCACTATATGTTTAATACACGGCCATTGTGCCATAAAGGACTGAACAAATTCAACACCGAACACTGAGAAGGAGCGCCTCCCATGGAAATCCATGTAAGCTGGCTTGCTACTGTAAAACACGTCCACATTCCCTCAGCAAACATGTTTGTTTCTGTTCGAAATTGCGTTCAGCAGTAATTAAAACTAGTTGGTTTTACGATCATATTTATGTAATATCATGAATGTATTTAACTATAATATCGAAGATCACAAAGATAGCAATATCTGAAATCCTTGTCCTTGGGGGGCAATTTTTGGTCCCATTAAGAAAAAACGCTCATAAATTTAAAGTTTTCTGTGATGGGTAGGTTTAGGGGATAAATGTAGCCTACAGTATAAATCATTGTCTATGTCTCCATAAAACATGAAAACCCAATAGGCCTATGTGTCCAGTATTTTTCTTCTGACGGCCCAAATTGAAATTGATAATGTATTATGGCAACAGACAGATGGACATATTTGCCCCCATAATTTAGGGAATACCCAAACCACACATACACACCCACACAAATAAAATTCATTTTTTTTTCTGCATAAATTTGTTCAGATGTAATTAAAGGCATCCAGTCTTCTGTTGTCATCCAGGTTTAATGTTGAAGTCACAGCCACATTTTAATGTGGTCATTTGAAGGAGTGGTCTAATTTAAGGAGAGGTCAATTTAGGAACATTTTGGAAGAGCTGCAGCTAAGCAAACTATATGCTCATGACGATTATCAGATGTGTAAATCAATTCAAAATGAAAATATTAGATAATAAGGCCAAGAAACATTATTCTATGAAGGCAATCTAGCATTTATATGCATGAGCTCTGTCACATATAATAGCACAATTTATATTTTAACCAGTGGAATTCTCTGAAATCAAACAGGCCTTCAATGACAGTGAAGTATTGAGGCATTATAATGTGGAAACATTAGCTTTTTGATAAAAAAAGATGGAAACTTAACAAGCAGTACCAATGAGAGGTTGAAGATCAGAGTTTATTGTCTATATTATTTAGAAATGATGCACAACGACAAATACTATTTCTTCTGGAGTCTGGATATAAACATGTTCTTACATTACATTACCCTCAGCCATGATTTCTATTTTAAAGAACAATGGTAATGACAGTCATAATGGTAAATACATTCCCTCAGATTGCTTTGGGAAACTCTCAAGCTACATGTTTCCATGTAATGGATCTATAATACATATTAATCAGCATATTATAAATAATATTGCTTTTTAGTTGGTAAAACAGCTTCCATTTTCTTTCAAAAGGCATGTTGAAATTTTGTAGCTGTCATTCTAAGCCTTCTAATAAGGACAATTAAGAGTTTCTTTTTTTCTTTTTCCCTTTTCTGAGGAATCCGCAAGGATATACGTACAGTATATAAATACAGCGTTGTTGGCGATATTCGGGGTGGGGATTCACAGACGCACGGAACACACAACTCTGTATGAAGAAATAAAAATGGCCCTGGTGAAAATGTTTATGTGATCATGAGCGTTCATGGGTTACGAGACCCTCCTCCTGGAATTGACACGTCCGACACTCGTGATGCTACTTTTGCGGGAGAGAACAGGAGTCGGGGAGGTGGGTGACGTCTCACTGGGACAGCCGTGCTGGACAAGAATCTCAGCACACTCTTTGCTCCCGGCTTGGCGCGCCAACGTCAGTGCGGTTCGACCTTGTGGATCCTTTGACTTCACATCACTGCCGTACTGTAGAGCACAATTAAGCAAAAAAAAAAAAAAAAGTACCTGTTAGAAATGCGCAAACAATGCAATACTGAAAGTGCAAAAGCTAAAAGGAATGGTTCACACAAAAAAGAAAATTCTACAAAAAATTGTCATTTAACACTATAAGCCTACAGTATCTCATTTTTTATATGCAAATTTCTAATTATCAACATGATTAAACCTTTGCTAAAAAAACCTCTCGTACACAAACTACATGCCTTCTGTCGTCTGATTGATAGATTCTATTTTTTAGCAAGTAAAACGCCTTTTAATGTAATTCTAAAAATGTCCACCTTCAGGTCGCGGTACATGTGACTTTCTGCTGTGAAATCGAATGATTTTTATAAAGTAAACGTAAGAATAACTATTATCTTGTTATCAGTATTTCAAGATGAACATTTACTGGACTGAAGCAACTAAGGTTTGCTTGATTACCCAAAGAAAAATCATGTTACAATGTGAGTCTCAAATATGATCCATCAGGATTTTGAGGAACATTTATTTCTCTCAATCATTACATTGCATTATATGTTTTGCATATGTTTTATATGTAGTTTTGCAATAAAAACTACAGAGCTTTTATTATAAAACTAATCATTTAAATATGATCTTAATAAGACATATTATTGGGAGATATAGAGCGACAACTGATATTTATATGCATTTTGGGAGATATAGACTGACAATATGCATTTTATGCTAGTAGTCTGCTATACTGTTATAAAAATTTCATTGATTTACAATACAAGCTATCAGATTTTCATCTTACTTTTTGGCCATATAAATATCAGTGTCTGCACCAAATTGCACATTTTGCTGATTTTGGGCCTCTGAATAAAACTGAGATGTTTTTTTATTTTTTATCTTTGAGTATGAGCTCCATATTCTCCTATATCATACTATCTGAGCCATAAAAGCCTGATGTATCAAATATGATACTCGACAAAAACACACCCTCATCCTTCCCTCGGGTCATTTTGACCCGAAACTAATATATATATATTTTAATGTAATGTTCATCTGAGTAGTCCAAGACCTTTGGACTCTTGTTGAACCAGAATATACAAAAAGAGAGATAAGGGAACACTCAAGCTCGGACTTTAGGACCCAGGGAAACAGCTCATTTGCTCCATTTGCGCTATAAGGCAATCTAGTGGCAAGAGTCATGAATATCATGTTATATGTCTTTTCCCACAAGAGGTCGGTAGAGACACCCAAATTGACCCAATGTGAGATATTGTGAGCTGATTTGAGCTGGTTATGCATGTATTGGAGAGTTGAATTAAATTATATTATTTATTGATCAAATCTAGTCATTTAAAGGGTACATACAATAAAAAATCTCCAAAAAATTGCATTAAAAATAGAACAAATATTATGATACAAGCTTTCTGAACAAAAATAAAAAGTATAATTCTAGGGCGTCTGGTATTTTTGACCCGCGAGGGAAGGATTTGTTACAGAATGCGAGGAGAGGATTAAAAATAAGTTGTCTAAAGGTTCAATAAACTTTCAAAAAATGTCTAATTCAAAAAATGTTTGGGCTTTTTATATCACATGTCAGGCTCAATAACTCACCCAGACCAGCAGCTGTGTCATGACCACGTCGCCCAGCTGGCAGGACGCATGTAATGCGCTGTGATGCTGCTGCCCTGCTCCTTCAGGCGGGATGTTGATCAGGTCCTTGGTGCTGTGCGCGAGGAGCAGCAGAAGTCTGGGAAGGTCCCTGTCGATTACTGCTTTAAGCAACCAAGTCGACATTGTGTCCTCTGAACACTGAGCGGGCAAGGGCGACACAAATGCCCGCTGTTCGTATTTGGCACGGATCCACGACTCCCTCTGCTCTCTGAGACAAACACCAAGCAAAGGCTAAATTATTACCATAGTGGCTCTGAACCATTGTCCACAATGACATTCACGGTCAAAGCCAGCTCACCTTGTTGCCTCAGGTGTCAACTTCTGGCACCCTTGGGTACAGGTCTCCCAAATGCTGTTGGCCATATGATTGCCTATAGCCGAAAGCACTTTTGTAAGTTCACTGGGCCAGTCGTCCAGGTCTAGCGAGCGCACACGGGACAGGTGCGTCCCCAGGTTCCGGTGTATCCCCGAACACTCGATGCAGATCAGAGCACCAAGATTAAGACTCGCCCATGTTGGATCTGCAAGGAGAGCGTAATGTTCTCATAATACTGAATAATGACAGAGATCTCAACATTCACATTTTGTGGTTTATATTTTCAGAACAAGGCATCATTTCAGGACACTTACTTGGTGCTGCACAGTCCACACAGAGGTCGTTCCCTTTGGCATTTCGAATGGCCTGCAAGGCAACAGCTTCACTTTGGCTGTTCCTTCGAGCCTGAGAGTTAAAAATTAAGTCCATTATACTGTTAATATGTATAGAATATTGTTTCTTAACATGATTTACGTATATAGAAGGAATCAGTGTCCTTTATTGATTCTATTAACCAATTATTGCTCTTCGATTTTAGGGATATGGAAAAGTTTAAGTGCCACTATTATGCTATTTTAAAGGTTCCTAATTTTGTTTGAGGTCTCCTACAATAGGTTTGCATGCATCCAATGTAAAAAAAAAAAAAAACACTTTCATTTTCTCATAACGTACATTGCAGCATCACCTTTTTTCTCACAGTGTTTGATAAAGGATTCGGTTTCTCTAAACTCCTCCTTTCCGAGAGTCTACTCTGCTCTGATTGGTCAGATGACCCAGTCTGTTGTGATTGGTTGACCGCTTAACAAAACTCCCATTACCAAATCTGAATTTCAGCTCCGGATCTTCCTCAGCACTTGATACACAGTGATATGAACAGTAACAATGGCGTCAGTTTTACTGTATCAATTCCAGTGCGAGTCCTCATTCTTTGGAAAAGCAGCAAAGTGGATTTGCTTTTGCGGCGCAGAAAACATCCTCTTTTCGACATGTCGACAACACGAACTAAACTCTTCCACTCTCAGCTACAACTACAGCGTTTGAGGGCGGGTCAAAGTAGACGTGGTTCACAGGCCGCCAATGAAGACCAAGACCATTATGCAAATTTGATAGACGGATAGAGATCAGATTAGAGCTTCTTAGATAAATATGTATTGCCCTCTTTACCTTATTTCTGCTCTCACAGCTCTGTAGACTTGCAAGGATCTGGCTTTCGATGGCCTGAACCCAGGCGTCCCTGTCCTCTTGACTTTGGGCTTCAAAATGCCAGCTCTGTCCTGAGCTCGATATGATGATGAAGTCCGTGCTCTCTTCTTCTGTTTGGGTGAGAGCAAAGAGTTATTTACACAAGAGGAAGGGATCAATAAAAACACCCATTGTGTCCTCAGTCTAATGTATCGTCTCAGTATAATTATGTGTTTCAGGAGACAGGAACACAGACAGAAAGACTCAGATCCATTTGCTGTAATCTAATGATGTGACAAGAGATGGACATAGAGACACATTCAGCAGAAAAGACAGCAAGATGGAGTCAGCTCAGCCACTCATACATTTCACACATTCAGGTTACCTGTTTTGTTAATGTTTCTCAAGCTACCAAAGCTTTTTAATTTCCACATTTTGCGCTTGGCTTGCGGTGCAAGAAATTAGTCCAGGGCAGCGGAGGATAAGAGGAAGAAAGGAAAGAAGAAAGTAAGAAGTAAAAGAGATTGTAAGAGGACCTTACAGAAAGCAATTAATCAGGTCCATATACTGGATTCATAAAGGAAAAGGGAAGAAAGAAAATTTGCAAACTCTTCGCAATAATACATCTTTATGTATTGCTTTAGCAGATTGCTTTAGCAGTAAACCTGGATCAATGTACGGTGGCCGAGAGAGCTCAACTCGCTGCAACTGAAGAAAACACATGCGAATGGAAAAACACCCGCAAATTAAAAAAACATCTTCATCAGTTTCACAACACACGTGTGCTCCAAATACTCACAACACAACCAAATACAGAAACACACTGCAAATAGCACAGACCACAACGGAAACGTTTCCAGGGGACCCAAATAAGTGACGAACCCGGCTGGGACGTGCTTATTGCTCGTGAGCATCCCTATGCCCTACTCCCTTCTAAGGGCAGACGGCAGAGCCCTTGAAGTGGGACTGTGGAGTGAGCAGGGCTCTAGTGTGCCATTATGTAGCTGTTTGGAGCGCACTTGATGAAGGAGCAACGAAAGACAACGTAATTTCCTCATTATTTTCACCTTGGATGTTCCCATGACAACGCAGCACGGTGTCCATCAGCTGAGAAGCTGTTATTACCAGAACTGTTAACATAACTGTTGGAAATAAATATAGATTTTAAACAAAAAAAGGTTTTAAAATATGCGTTATATATCTGTGTGTGAGTGTCTCAACTTTAAAACTTGCCGTCTCATAATTGGACCCTGCATTACCTAACATTTCTTATGAAACTTATTTAAACCTAACATGACAACATTTGTACGATGTAACTGATGAATAGATTAATATCTTTCCCTCATGTTTTTTTTCTCTATCTTTTTTATTTATTTTAGTTTTCAGGTCATTGTTCTTTTCTCATTAGTATTCTGATGACATTGAACATATCGTTAATACATGTTGTATATTGTATAAACATCTCATCTCTGTATGTTTAGCAAAAAAATAAAATTAAAATAAAGTAGACTTTGAGCTGTAAGCACGTCCCAGCTGGGTTCGTCACTTATTGGGGTCCCCTGGAAACATTTCTGTTGTGGTCTGTGCTATTTGCAGTGTGTTTCTGTATTTGGTTGTGTTGTGAACTTTTGTAGCGTGTTCCTCTATTTGGTTGTGTTGTGAGTATTTGGAGTGTGTTTCTGTATTTGGTTGTGTTGTGAGTATTTGGAGTGTGTTTCTGTATTTGGTTGTTTTGTGAGTATTTGGAGTGTGTTTCTGTATTTGGTTGTGTTGTGAGTATTTGGAGAACATGTGTTGTGAAACTGAAAAAGATGTTTTTTTAATTTGCGGGTGTTTTTGTATTTGCATGTGTTCTCTTCAGTTGCAGCGCGTTGAGCTCTCTCAGCCACCGTATTAATGTGACGTCTGTCAATCTTTCATAAATCTGATCTCTCACCCTCAGCCTGTCCAGCCGCTGCGTCTCCTTTCAGGTTAATACTTCTGTTTCGTTTCTTCTTCTTCCTGTCAGTCATTGGAGAAGACGGGATGTGTTCTTTTCCTAAGGGAGGACTTGTAGCCCCCTCAATGCTTGACTCTATTAAGATAATACAAAAAAGAGGACAGAATTTTGTCAAAACTTTTCCTGAAAAAGATTTGTAACTATTCTGAAGATAAATCCAAAGCCAAAGCCAAAATTCGAAATAATTATATATGAATTAAATATATTGAGTATATTGATATATTTACATTACATTTACATTGACTCATTTAGCAGTTATATAATATACTATACTATACATATATAAAACATACTGCTACATATTATACTATAATAATATACTATATAAAATATTTTTTTTTATATAATTATATAATATCATTATATTAAGTATTTTCCTGCAACAACAACAAAAAAAGAATACATGTCTCAATTACAGTTACAGCATTAAACACACAAATTGACACTAAATGTAACTAATAAAACTAAAAATACTGAGTTGAAACACAGTCATGGACTGGTGTATTTATTTAACTAAATATTTCAGTGCAAAAACGGACAAGTAAATAGAAAAGGTAACACCACTAAGTGATATCAATCTTTAAAATGAACTGTCAAAATGATCAGATTTGCATATGAACTTGATATGAACTGAAATGAATCACTACACTTCACAACAATACTGAGCTACCTTCATTTCCAGGTTAGTAGCATTGCTACTTTTAATTTATTATTCTCCAAAACTGTTATAGAAGGAATAAATGGAAGGTGTAAACTAAATATTTACGCACCCACACTGAACCCTTTATTAGACACAGATGACGGGCAACGTTTCACCCGTTGATCATTATGAAATGACAAGCCAGTTCTGGATGCCTCTTCTACAGTCAGAAGATTTGCTGGAAAGAGAGAAACCATGACAGTGAGAAATCGTTCAAATTATTTTATTAGGACATTTTAAAAGATTTCACTTACATGTAGCGCCCCCTTCAGATGACTGCTTGTCTTTACTAAGTCCATTTACACCTGGCACAGGGACAAGAGCCGGGCCAGGGGACGGCCCACCCGGAGTGACAGCGCGATGAAGACGCTTTCCTGGCACCTTTACTGTTACTCGCAATAAGTCCATCTCTTTCCCTTGAGCATTCTGCATAAACTCCTAAAATCATAAATATATGCATAATACTGGCGTATTTGTGAGTTAGGTCCATGGATTGTATTGCTCATAATGTCAACAACACTATATTATGAGTAAAACAATCCATGGACCTAACTGACAAATGCGCCATTTCTCTTCTACAGCCAAAAATAGCAAAACATTCAAGCTTTTAGGTTTTGTAAATTTATCAGGCAATTTCATCAAAGTATCATTGATTTTTTTTTATACCCAACAACCCAGTCCTGCGTCGGACAAAACATTTGTCATTACAAATCATTACAACACAGATTAGCTGTAAATCCACACCCAAAATATAATGATATCATTTTGTATTAATTTGTAAAAAATATAATCATATTGAGTACTCTATAATAGTATTATATAATATAATAATATTGACAATGAAAATTGACTGGTTTAATATATTGTTTAAATGTAATTGAATTATATAATATGATATTTAAATTGGTATTTAAATCGATTAATCGCATCTAACATAAAAGTTTTCGTTTATATAATATGCGTGTGTATACATTATTATATGTATTACATATATATATATATATATATGTGTATGTGTGTGTGTGTGTTTGTGTTTTGTACATACACACACACACACACATATATATATATACTATATTTAATATAATTATACACTGCAAAAAATATTTTCATTACAAATATCTAAAATTCTTAAATCAAGATACATTTACTTGAGAAGCTAAATCACTTAAGATATTAAGTGTTTTTTTTTTTTTTTTAATCTTCCAAATTAAGTGAGTTTAGGCTTTAAAAAATCTGCCAGTGGGGTCAGAAAAATAAACTTAATTCAAAGGGAAAACAAGATTATTTATCTTACTTCACTGACAGATATTTTTCTTGTGTAAAGCATAAACTCGTTTTATTTTGGTCCATTTTTCTGTAAACAAGACTTAATACCTTAAGTCATTTTGCTTCTCTACTAAATATATCATGATTTAAGAATGCTTATATGCTGGAAAGCAACATGAAAATACAGAGTAAGAAAATAAGTTATTTTCCTGGCAAAAGGCACTATTAATAAATACAGTTACAGCATCACACCTGAACACACTATTTTATAATAAACTAATAAATCTAAAAAATACTAAGTCAAAAACACAGTGATGAACAGCAGTATTCATTTTGGTACAAAAAAGGACAAAACACAAAATGTGATTATAAAAACAGAAGCATGCAGGAAGTATTTGTAAATGAAGGATGTGTAAAAACACTAGTGCTCTGATGAAAACAGAATGGGTTGCAAGAGAGCATTACTCACGTTTAAATTTGAATGATACATCAGCATCCCGTTGTTTGACAGCGTCACATACTTCTTCTTCCACTCCTTATTTAAAGAGCGTTCACTGCGTTTCCACAAAGTTCCCTAACAAAGAAAAACAACATAGCGATTTATTTAATTATTCCTCTAATGCAAATGAGATTCATACATTTTTCCAGCACCTTCTACACGTCCAAACACTTTTCGGGGCCACTGCATTTCACAGAAGCCCCACGACACACCAGCAATGCTGAGATCTCACACGCACCTGTTTGATGGGAACCGACCGACTGCTCATGTCACTTCTGCTATCTGAAGCTCTTTTCTCAGAGTCGCTCCCACGGCGGTTCTAAAATAACAGACATGTTAGATAAAGTACAGACGAGAGGAAGGCAAAACACGTAAAGGAAGGAAGACAGATGTGACTCATGAGATGAAGTGAGTGTTAGAGTGACAGAAAGTTCACAAACACAATCTCAGACTGGAGATGCTGTCATACTTCTGTTTTTTTGTAACAACATTTGAAGGTGACGTATGTAATTTCACTAGTATCACCAAAACTTTTTCGAAGAGGTTTCCCCATCTGCCACAATTAATAGTTATCTTCACATATTCAAATTTGGATAGAAGAAATGATTTTACTGTAAAAACATTACACACATCACCTTAGATTACATTAATCATTTAGATATAAGGCCAACTATACTTTAAAATATGAATAATACAATACAACATTTTCCACAGCCAGTTTCACTGGTGTTGCACATAAAGTAACTGGCAAGATTTGACACTCTTTGTAATGAGCTCAAAGAACTAACCGCAAATAAAGAGGTCCGTCGTCGGGGCGGATTTCGTTGCGAGCCCCCGTCTCCACTTGCCCCACCCCGTATGTCTTTGTGACTTATCACAGGGGTAGAAGGCAAAGAGGAGGGGTAATCACTACTTTGACCCCCATTACTGGCCTAAGAGAGGATGATGGGACATTAAGAAGACTGACACAGAGGTTGGTGGAATGGTGAATGGTGCAGACAGACTGATGAAGTTCATAATCATTTAAAACAGTCAAATACTCAACAACAGGGGTATAAAAATGTGCAATGCATCAATCTACAATTAAAATGTATTGATATGGAATTTTATCATTTATAATTCATCTACAATAAAATATAAGCATGTCATTTTAACTTTTATTAATTGTATTATAATGATTACATTTGTAAATAATATTGAAATAATATTAATACTGATTTTGTAAGCAAAGAATATGAAAGAAATTAGATCAGAAACAACGTGATGGTATTTAATTCCTTATTCCATATTTCACCAGAATTATAATGATAAAGGGGTCAATCTCACAAAGAAATGTCTAGGTCATATTTCAAAACAAAACAAAACAAAATTCGAATAAAGAAAATAGGTATATTATATTTAAAAATATTTTCTTAAATTAAAATATTTTATAATCATACATCATTCAGTAAGGCCATTAAGATGTGAGGGTTCTCATCACAATTTTCTCCCCAAATTCACAATATTGTAATGAGAAAAAAAAACTATTTTTGGTAACACTTTACAATAAGGTCTCATTTGTTAACACTGGGTAATGTATTAACTAACATGACCTAACCATAAGCCATACATTTGTTAGTCTTTGTTAACGTTAAGTAAAATACTGCCGTTCATTGTTTGTTGTTTATGTTACTTCACAGTGCATTAACTAATGTTAACAAATACAACTTTTGATTTGAATAATGTATCCGCAAAAAGGTTAATAAATGCTGTAGAAGTGCAGTTTATTATTAGTTCATGTTAACTAATGTAGTTAATGAATGAAACCTTATTGTAAAGTGTTATACATTTTTAAATTCAATTCATGAAAAGAAATAATGATGACTTACAACTGCACTTCACAAATGTACTTTTTTTTTGTTGCATTATAGTAATGAAAATGAGATTTTCTTTGACCCAGAATTGACCCAGACATGTCTTGACAGCTTTCATGAGATTCATCCAAGCAGCAGAGAGACTCGTAAGCATTGAGATACCTGTCCGGGCCCTGACAGTGGAGTCGAGGCCCCTGAGTGACTCGGGGAGTTTGGGAGAGATTTACAGGATGCCAGAAGTGCGGCTTGCTTCTTGGCAGCAACAATCTTGTGAGTCACTAAGAGGGAAACAAGTTTGTCCAATCAAAACTGTCATCCTGTTTGGAAGTAACGTGCTATATTTTAGCCCCTATTTTGAGATGAAACTCACTTTCATTGAATACTCTGTCCACATTAAGTCCATAGGTGGCACAGGTCTCATAGTAAGTGCAGCGACGCACATCTATACACAGCTGCTGGACCCTCTTGTCCTCAATCACACGGGCGTTAGTGCTACTAATCTTATCTGCAGGAAGAAAAACACTCAGAGTTGGTACGCAACACCATATAGCTCAATTAAACATCCCTGAAACCAAGAAGAGTGTATCTCTTACCTTGCGTTCCAACCGCTATAATGGGGATTTCTGCTATGTTACGATTTGCACTTAGCTCACTGTAGTTCTTGTACACATCCTGGAAACTTGCTTCATTTTCCAGACTAAAAACCAGGATGACACCATCGAGCCAGTTGCAGATCTACAATCACAAATTTAGGAATGAAAAACAGGGCGGAAGGGAATAATGCTGAATACACTACTGTTCGAAGGTTTTTTTTAAAGAAACGAATACTTTTGGAATTGATCAAATGTGAAAGTAAAGATATTTATAATGTTACAAAAAAAATATTTCAAATAAATGTAGTTCTTTTGAACTTTCTATTAATAAAAATAGCCTAAAAAAAATGTCATGGTTTCTACAAAAAATATTAACTCTTTTCAACTTTGATTTCTTGAGCAGCAAATCAGCATATTAGAATGATTTCTGAAGGATCATGTGACACTGAAGACTGGAATAATGATGCTGAAAATTCAGCTTTGATCACAGGAATAAATGACATTTTAAAATGTATTCAAACAGTTCTCTTAAATTTTAATAAGATTTCCCAGTATTATTGTTTTTACTGTATTTTTGAGCACATGAATGCAGCCTTGATGGCTGCTTTCAATTTGAATGGTGGTGTACATACAAATATGCTCTACACACAAGTACGTGCAGGCAAATGCTTCCTGTAACACGAGCTCAATTTCACACATCATTACAAAATGTGTAAGAAGCAATTCATAACACAACATGAGAAAGCAGCATTCTCAATCTTTCCACAAGGGGCACTATAGCGTAATTGCATGAACTGTCTTCTTCTTCAGTTTCTAGTTAAAGTTAGTTAACCACATCTGTGGTTGCGTTTAAATCCATTTTTTTATGCCCTTCCCTCGCTAACTCCCCTCTGTCTCGTTCACTTGGACGTACGTCATTGCTTCCTTGCACAAGTGCCCACTACTGGCAGAACCCTTGCAATGTGTTTAAATGGAACGCCATGATCACTTAGAATCCGCTATGAAGCTGATTTATTATTTACAGCTTTTTTTCCCATAAGCACTAGGATAAACAATGCCGATTTATTTTTTAAAGCCATCTTTGATCATATTGCACAAACGAAAATACTAACAATACAATAAACTATAACTCTGTCATGATTTACTCACCCTCATGTCATCCCAAACATGTAAAAGCTTCGTTTATCTTCGGAACATGAAGAAGATCTTCTTGATGAAATCTGAGAGCTTTCTGTCCCTCCATTGACAGCTATGCAAATGCCACTTTGACGCTTCAAAAAGTTCATAAAACTAATCCCTATGTATGAGTTGAGCGATTTAGTCAACATTTTCTGAAGAGACTCGATCGCTTTTTGTGATGAACAGATTTAATTTAGGCTTTTATTCACATATAAACATTGATCAGCGAACATAAACAGATGATCAAATGTGAAAACAAACCTCATTGGTTCTTGAAGAAGCTCAAACGTGATGCGTAACACGAGAATAAACCTTAATGGTTCTCGCAGGTCAAGCGAACATGCTTGAACATGCTTCCGTTCATGTTTATTTGTGGAAAATATTCTGTTCATCATATGAAGCGACCGAGTCTCTTCAGAAATTTCGGACTAAACCGCTCAATTCATATGGATTAGTTTTACAATCTCTTTATGAAGTTTTTAAAGCGTCAAAGTGGTAGTTGCATGGACTGTCAATGGAGGGAGAGAGCTCTCAGATTTCATCAAAAAGATGTTTATTTGTGTTCAGAAGATGAACTTACTCTCTTACAGGTTTGGAACAACTTGAGAGTGAGTAAATGTTGAAAGAATTTTCATTTTGAGGTAAACTATCCCTTTAAGTGTGATCTGCTTTGGCGTCACAATCGTTTTGCATTTTGGTCTATGGATCTGCCTGAAGTGTACATATTGAGTAGACGCTTTCTCGGTCAAAATCAAGGGGTCGAGAGTCTGTCCAAATAAACTTCCCCCGACTTTCGACGAAGTTGGACGCACTTTAAAATACAGGCGGGGATTCCCCCAAAGGGGAAATGCTTAGGGAAGTTCACAAGTCTAAAAACGAAATTAAATGCAGCTCGGTTTAATGGCATGGACAACTTGCTGTAGGTTTTAATACCGCCACACTAATGTTAAGTATAAAAGCAGGAGATGCACACATGCATTGGCTAAATATTTTTGTTGTGCAGACAGGTATGTTCCTGACTTAAGTGTTCATAGGGAAACATTCACACACCTGTGCACTTGGTGGACCAGATTCCTCTCGAATCAGCAATAACTGACTGTGTCCCTCCACCAACACTTCTTTTTTATATCTTCCCCCTTCCAGAGAAGAAAAAGAGGACAAAGTCAAAAGACAAGAGAACAATTATAATGCCTCTAAACGGTTAAAATGACAGTCTTCGAAAAGGAGACGAGAAAGAACAAGTTCTCACCCTCATGCGATTCAAGTGGAAGGTAACTTCCTGTGATGAATCTGTTTACCAGAGCAGATTTTCCACTGCGAAGGCTACCCAGAACCCCCTGCAAGCGGCAGAAAGAATAATATTTTTAATCATCACTTTTAATCATGATCTGACATTGTTGAGATCTCATCTGAAACTCCTGAGGAGACTCATCTGAGACCTAATTGAAATTTAAGCAAAAGTCTTTTAATTTTGTCAATGTTTTGAAAAAAATTCAGATTTTTTTTCTTCCTACAGTCAAATATGTATCCTTTTTGACAAAAATGCAACATTAATCTTCTTAGTAACATTTTATTTTACAGTGTCCTTGTTACACGTTACATGTAGTTTCTATAGTAAGTAATTACTATAAATTATGCATAATTACATGCAACAAACCCTAAACCAAACCTAATCCCAATCCTAACCCTATAGTAATGTAATTAATATAAATTAATTAATATTAATATTACTCAGTACTTAAATGTATAATTACACTGTAACAAGGACACCTTAAAATAAGGTGCAACCATCTTCTTTTTAGTAAACTGAACCAAATGAAATATTGTTTTTATAGACGTATGCCTAAAACATTTTGTTTATATGCTTAAGGAGTAAAAAAACTGTTAAGGTGTTCTCACCAATCGCAGTTCTGGGATGGCGCGAGTTAAGGTCCATTCCTGGCTATTGGCACATGATGCTGAAAAAAGAAAAGTCAAAGTTAAGTCTTAACTTCAAAACAATGAAGACAATTTTTGCGTAAAACAAGCCATCCTACTGTATTCTATTGCCTTGTAGGTTTCCAGGGCATTGCTATGCAGTAGCAATATGTTTGGAGTGAATATTAATGTGTTGCTAGCTATCCAGTTGCAAGGGTGTTTTGAATGGCTTTTGATGTGTTGCTATGCAGTTGCTAGGGTCTTTTAAGTGGTTGCCCTAGTTAAAAGAGCCCGTCCCCAAGTTTGATATTTTATATTATTATTCTATATTAAAAAAGCTTCCCCCCTTTGACTGAAATGGTGGGGTTAGTGTTACCAAATTCGGTACATATACGGATCTCAACAAACTTAACAACTTTCAAAATTATATTCATTAGCTCCCGCCCAACAGGAGGTCAATTATTTTGGATCGAGATTTTTTTTAATACTTCTCCAAGGGGATTCATGTGATCATCATCAAACTTTGTCAACATTAGGCCAAGACATTAAAGATGCTGAATTGCAAAAATATTTTCTCAAACAGATTTGCCATGGTGTGGGATTAAATGAATAAAGAAAAAGGGAAACAGGAAGTGTATTATATCTATTATATGTATTATCTATAAGTGCACTGTCTCATTTAGATCACATTGAGGTTCTATATTTGTTCATATTCTGATCTGTATTTGAGGTGCTTAGCAAGCACCACTAATAAAAGTACAACAGAAAAATAGATGAATCAATCATATAACAAAAAAAAGATGGAATATGTGCTGATTTATTAATATTATGTCTTGGTATCCTAGTGAAAAGAAACGCATGCAAAAATGTATTTAAAATATATGTATACTATACAAATCCATTAACATATTTACTGAGACTTACTGATATAAATTTAAAATGACTTCTTTATTGAACTTTATTGATTTCCTAATATTAAGCCAAAAATGTGTTTCAATATCACTATTAGTAAGGATAGTATGATCTCTCTATAATATCAGTCTTTAAATGCAAGATATTTAAAGTGCACATAAAGTATACTTGCAATAGTTCCACTTTAGCACAATCAAATATACTTAAGTATATCTCTAGTTGGACCTCACTATTTCCGGATAACTAAAGTGCATTAAGGACAAAATTAGTTGTTCCAATTTAGCAGACTTTACCCATTTAGTAAACCAACAGTACAATTGCAGGGTATTTATAAGTACATGCATGTGTGAATGTATTTGCAGTATACTTAGCATAAAATAAAATAAAATGTTGGTATATTTATTTTTTCACTATGGGGTGGGCCAGCTACTGAATTTGTTTTCTAAAAAAAGATCTCTCATATTGATTTACAGCTTAAATCCCTTCGTTCTGACCCTTGATGTCAGTGACGTGACTCACTTACAGGAAGAGCGAGTTTGACACGACTGAATGATCATTCAGTGATCCCAACATTCAGAACCTCCAAGCACTGAGCAGCAGAGTTAATAACATTATCGCCTCCCTTCACGTCAAGCCACATTATCTAAAGTCAGTACAGGCGCAATGATACTGTTGGTTTCTTACGCCAATCTGTGACCATTTAAACTCAGATCATGCACATTTCTATTCTGCATCGAAGTGAAATTTGATTGCACCTTCGCCTCGGATGACAGTTCATCTGGAGGTGTTATAAATCTCTGGTAATTCACAGGCCGTGAAGGACTGCAGGTGTATCCGAGCAGCAGAGAGCATGGAGCACCCACACCCCTCTTCGCTTTATATTAGAAGTCTTATCACACTCTCACTATTTTTCACCAGAGGCTCAGACCCGGCACCCAGTGATAGACGGACACGTCACTTGTTTTTTGTGTAGCTGCACAGCTGTGAGGGCATCAAGCGGCGGATGAGAGGCAAAAGATGCTTTTGTTAAGGGGGGAGGATCGGTGCGATACACCCTTGTGACCGGCGTGGACTGATTAAAGCAGCTCACGACGCACAGATGCAGGAGATCGGCGTACGATCTGAGTTGGCACTCATGCCGTTTGCAGTTTCCTCTCTCACACGCCACCCACGACACAAACGGAAGAGGTTTAACCCCCCTCCGAATTCAGCGCAATTCTATGAGGTCATTGTACGGCGGGGCACATCAGGAGTCGAGCCAGTGCGGTTAGACAGTGTGATCCTTATGTGCCATATACAACACGCCACCCCCTCCATCTAAACGGACGCTCTATGTGACACATTCTGGTCTCTCTCTTTTTCAAAAGGACCCCTCCTCGCATACCCTCACTCCCATTCATTTCATGTGTGGCTCGTTCCCTCGCATAACACAGCCACACAACAGGCAACTCTCTCAGCCCTCCCTGTTGCCATGACAACCCCACCTCCAGCCGCTGCTTCTGTTCACTCGGAGAACACATACGTAAATATTTTGTGTGCGCATGCGTCGTGTGTGCAGACACATCAGACCTTTTGCTCGTAGCATATTGACCACACACACACACCTATATCGAGTTCCACTTGTGCAATTATTAATTGCATCCTACAAAATAGGAAACCTAATTATCAAATCTATATTGTCGAGAAATACAGACGTTTGAAAAGAAGCCTTTGTTCAACAAGCTCTGCATATAAATGAGTTAAACTTGAAGGCATCTCTGCAAGATCACACTAGATCATTTGAAGAAAAACAGACTTACTTTGCTTGGGTGGATTCAAAATGCATGTGGCAAATTTTAAGCTCATCCATCCAATTGCCTGTTGATTCAGATACTGCTTTATGTCATTTAAAATGTTTCCTCACTACAGAAATCAGTGCTTTCCCTTCAGTTTAGGGTGCTAAAATTGGCTGGATATGGCTTTAAATGAAGAGACTGGTGATGAAAGGACTGAAGCTTCCGTGAAAGAATGAGACCAGAATACAGGAAGTGGGCGGAACATCAAAGATGGGATTAGGATGTTGGGCAAATTTATGCTGCCTGTGGCATGGGTATTATCAAATTTATTTTACCATTCCAATTTTTCCAGTGCAGCAACAGAAACAGTAGGGGGTGGTTGTAAATAAAAGACCAGTATGCTTTCAGCACCTTAACTCTACAACCCTAGGCATTTACCAGAATTCCTTAAATGTGTGTACAGACTTCAACATGTCAATTTTTTTTAAATTAATGGAAACTAAAACATCAAGATACTTCACTTTAAAAGGATTGTTCACCAAATACTGAAAACGGTCACCATTTAGACTCATTTCGTACCAAACATGTATGTCTTTCAATCTTCTGTGGAACACAAATATGCTTTTAAAAATTTCGTTTTATTTTTTTGTCCAGACAAGAAAAGTCAATGGGGTCCAATGTTGTTTTGTGCGCTGATGACTTTCATTGCATAGACAAAAAAAGATGGTTAAAACATTTTTCAAAAGAAGAACGTAAGTCATTCAGGTTTGGAAATACATGAAGGGTGAGTTATTGATGAAAACATCATTTTGGGTGAACAATCCCTTCAATATAAAAACATAACATTTAGAAAACATTACACATTCTTTATGCAAAGAATCCCTCTTTTTCAAAATGCGCAAGCTACCTAGTGTGTCCCCCTCCCATTTTCAGAAACAATCCTGCTTCTACTTATCTGAGAGCTTGAGTTGTGTATGGGTGAGTAAGCCATGTTCTCCTACCTTCCTCCTCACTGGATTCCCTCTGAATGGTGCTATAGACTGGGGTCACAATGGTTGCACTGGTTGCAACTGGAGTGCTCTTGGTAAAAATGCCACTAATAAATCTTAGCATCTTGCGGTCACGTGCTGAAGCCCCCTGGGACTGAGCTGTTCTAAAGTCAGATACCATTTGACCACCTTTGCACTTAAGGAGGTCCTCAGACAGACAATTCAAGTCGCTGTTGTCCAGGGTGCGACTCTTTCCTTTGCGTTGAGGCTTGGTAATCAAGGCGATAGGGGTCGGAAGAGATGTAGATCCTGCCTTTAATCTCTCGGCTCGAGGGCTTTGGGTTCGCATGGCTATGATGTCCCCTTCAGTGGGCCTTTTCATCCCAATACCCCCTTTGAGGTCTTCATCGCAAGTTTTCACCTCGCTTACAGCCCATGATGCCCGGAATGATCCAGGATTCGGGCTGGTTGGGGACTGAATCCTGGTCCGACTGTCCTTACGGTCAAGGCTCTTTGAGGAGGCATGGATGCTCTCTCTAGACTCCTTAAAATCACGACCACCGCCATGAGCTTTAAGGAGAGACACGGGACGCTGGGTCGCACGGACCGGTATGTCACCCAGATGCCTGGCTATATCTCGGGGAAACGAGGTTTGGGACATCCCGGTGGATTCTCTGGCTCTTCCATTCTCTGTGGTGGGTGAGATCATTGATTTTTGTCTATCACCAGGGTGAACACCATCTGCAAAAAGTGCCTTGTCGTCCCTTGGGCTTTGGAGTATTTCCTGTTCCACTGAGAATTTGACAGATTCTCCAGCTTCCAGCTCCACAGCCTCACCCATTTTCTGGCGTTCCTGGCCCTCATTATTGGATCCAGGGTGCTTGAGATGTTTCGCTCCATCAGCATCATACACCGCTCCCTCCACAGCTGGCCTGGACTTTTCCAACTCATTTTCCTCAGTGGTTTCTACCTTCACCAAGGTGAGGGAGATAAGGTAGGTGGTTTTTGACTGTGATGTCCCGCTTCGGTTCATGTGGTCCAGAATTTCTCAGCAGATCAAGGACAGAAAATTAATCAAATAATCTTGTTATTTATTTGTTTAATGGCGTCCACAGCATGAAAAAAAAAATCACGGAATTCATAGAAAAAAAGACAGTTCAAGCAAGTGTGTCAAAAAGAAGTAAACCGTGACCTTGTTCCCTAAAGTGGGAAAAAAATCAGCTAATGTCCTTTGTGCTCTTTCACACCTTCATGTTTCTTCCCAGACTTCGTATTGCTGTTCTTTGGTCCTCTCACACCTATTTTAAGCATGCAGACATGTGCCCAGCTCTCCACACCTGCATGAAAAGCACTCTCCCGATTCCATTGACTACATTCAACAAGAGGCAGATTCAAAGGCAAAAATGACAATGCACAAGATGGAAACAGGATCGCAAATTCCTTCAAGGACGACAAAGAGTAAAATTACATCTGTGAGACATGCAGAGCTGTTAACCTCAGATCAAGGCACATCGTTTCACCAACCTGCTCCACAGTGTGTGGAGGAGATGCTGACAGACTGAAGAGTCGAACTGAGGAGTCAGTCTACATGCCACATGGATCGGTGGAAACGTTTACAGCAAGTCCACAGAGAGTGATCCTAGTGTCCCCAAACAGAGTCTATCCATCACGCCTCCGGTGATCGGTGCGTCAAGCAGTCGGAGATGTCAATAATGCAAACGCGCGAGGCAATCATGCTTCATTCTAGAGAAGAAGGTGCATCTCACGCTAAAGGTTTCGACGAGTCACGCATCATGAACAAGGGTCTCTAAGATCTCTCCAGTGGAAGGTCTTCTTCAAACCCACGCAGAACGGCACCGTGCAGGAATACCCTGCTTCTCTCTCCATCTCCTGCTTCTCTCTCTCTCTCTCTCTCTCTCTCTCTCTCTCTCTCTCTCTCTCTCTCTCTGCCCTTGTCACCAGCCAGACAGCTCCCAGCCCCTGCTTTCCACAGCCTGCTACCCCCTCCTCTCGTTCTCCCTCCCTCCCTCGCCTTCTCCCTCTCTTTTCTCTCGCTCGCACGCTCTCTCCTGCTTAAAAAGCGAGAATCAGTGATGTGTTAAGGAATAAAGACAGACTGTAAAGCTAGAAAGGTTCTGACAAGGAAAAGAGGTCAACGCAGCACAAGAAAAACACAAATATGAGTGGTTACGTGCAAAGCTAATCAAGACTGACACATCAATGAGGCAAATTTTGCACTCGATCCAGTGTTGTATCAGGCAGCAATGTGCCACATATCACAGTCACAGTCAGTACAGTGATTCAAGAGCCGCCGTGTCCCCCCACCTTTCCTGTCCTAGACACTGAGCTTGCTTGTTACCAAGGTATTCCGAGGCTAAACTCCTCCTCCTTCATGCACTGATTCCATCTAGTCTCCCGTTCGCTATCTCCATATCTAACCCCCTGCTATGTGCACCAACTGTCCTTGCAAAGGTGTGTATGAATGAGTAGGTGATTGAGTGAGGGCATGCAATATTATTGACAATTTATTGATTGATCTGTTTAAATGTGCTTGATTAGAGTCAATACTACACTCGAATTCATTCAATAACTGGGATGAGAGTAAAAAAAAAATCAATGTGTCCTACACAAAACACAAGACTATATATATATATATATATATATATATATATATATTACAAAAAATAATCTTGTAAAGGGAGGAGTTTAATTTTTAAAATGTTAATTAGCAGTCATATAGAATTCACAAATCAATAATATTTTACATTGATTGCTATCAATCATGAAGACAGGTGCCATACAGAACACAATTCAGCAACATTTAGGAAGAGGGCGTGCAGTTACTTGTATGTGAATGTATCTCATTTGTTGTTCTCTTTATTGATTTGCTACTTTATTGCATATAAAGAAGAATTTAGTGACTATTACTATTGCTCATAGTTAAGTTCAATAGACATTTTTAATTCCATCATCATTTACTCACCTTCATGTCCTTCCAAACATTACTTTCTTCTGTGGAACACAAAATTATATATTTTGAAGAACATTTGGAACCAAACTACATAGAACCCCTTTCAGCATTAGTGAACAAAATCCAAAATAAAAGTTTGTGTTTACATAATAAATGTGTGTGTACTGTGTATAATTATTTTGTATATATAAATACACACAAATGCATGTATATATTTAAGATTTATTTGCATGTTTATTATACTGTATATAAATTTATACATAATTTATATTACATATACATATAAATATTTTATATATAAATAACACATTTGTCTTAAATATATACATGCATGTGTGTGTATTTATATATACAAAATAATTATACACAGTGCACACACATATATTATATAAACAAACTTTTATTTTTTATGTGATTTAATTCGCAATTAATTTTTTTTTTTTTAAATCTTATTTTGTGTTCCACAGAAGAACAAAATGCATACAGGTTTGGAATGCCATGAGTAAATGATGACAGAAATTACCCTAGCAACCAACCAGAAGAACCTAGTAACCACATAGCAACACCTTGGCAACCACAGGCAAGCTCCACTCATATTTTTATCAGAAAATGCAAAGCTTTAGTTTATGTATATAGTATATATTCTACTATTTCATGGTAGAGATTCCTTGGACTCTTTCTTGGAGAACTCCCACTCATAAATATATTTTCCCCTTTCTCTCTCCCCGCTAAATCGCTGTAACTCCGCCTGTCTCCCACTCTCTTGGCTCCCTGCAGTCATCAACATTTAAATGTGTCAGTCCTATTCGCAAATCCCAATGCTCAGAAGCCAACCGCAATGACTTCTCCTTTACAGTTTCCTTCACTTTTATTTTATTCCCATCAAGCATAATTTGAATCATCATATGACTATGTGGGCTAAATGAATATATTCAAAGATCATCCATACTATTTCATCCTGTCTGTTATGCAACTTTATTTATAGAACATCATTAGTGATGCAGGTTAATGCAAGTGATCAACTTTCTCCTGGAAAATGATCAAATGGGTGAAAAAATCTGAGCAATATCTAGGGACTGCAATATCATAGAAACAAGAAATCCATAAGCATCCAGAATACAATCATCCAGAATACCCTAGCAATCATCCAGAATACCCTAGCAATCATCCAGAATACCCTAGCAACCATCCAGAATACCCTAACAATCATCCAGAATACCCTAGCAACCATCCAGAATACCCTAGCAATCATCCAGAATACCCTAGCAACCATCCAGAATACCCTAGCAATCATCCAGAATACCCTAGCAACCATCCAGAATACCCTAGCATCATTGTGGCAAGTTTTGCATGGGTAAGTAATACCATAAAAATCTTGTTTAATTTAGATTTTGGTTTAAAGAGACAAAATGTCGGTGAGATTATGCTGACTGAGAACGTCTTCATATTGAGCTGAAATCTAGAGTGACAGATGCATTAACGCTCAAGAGGAAGTGTGAGGAGGAAGTAAATTATAAGGAGCATCGACAAACACTATATTAAAGATGCATTCGTTTCTGTTACCATAAGTTCAAACCTAAAAAATATGCACTGCATGGATGTTTACTAACATGATTTATAAATGTTGCATCTTAAAATAAATGCTTAAACTTTACAGCCGGCTCATTTGGAGCTTCAATGGATGCAAGATTATTTAAAGTCAAACAAAGAAAAGCGGAATCTTATGGAAAACTAAAAATAATGGTGTCGGATATGGAGATTAAGAGTAGCACTGTATAGACAGGTAGTGACTGAGATGAAGAGGATGTGGCTTCCGTGGGCAGCAAGAGAGCGTCAGACAGGAAATGGACCAGCACTTCGCGTGTTCAGAAGCCTGCCACCATGACGACGTCTCTAAGATGGTGCTAATGTTTCAACCTGGCCTCTTTAAACTAACATCCACCATTCTGATTCAACATCCGGGCTGTAGTAACAGTTCATCATCACAGTCTAATGGTGGAGCATGTGCATTTGCAGACGTCTGCTGGATATATAATTCAATTTAACACGAGTTAAAGCATTTATATTCCTTTTTATATGTCTGCCTTCTCTAAAATATACAGTCGGGACATTTTAGAATTTGATATTATTTTAAAACTCAAGATAATGCACATAATACTGCAAAAGTGGAACAATCAATAGCAATCAAACCATGTAAAAAAGCCGAATTCCTTGAATTTTTATCTCACACAAGGAGGTCTGATTAACTCATTTCCAGAATGTTTAGTAAGCTTGTTCTCTTCTGAGAATTATTTAGATATGCCTTTCTATCAACATAGATTTTCAACTCTAACAACATGCTGTTTACGTGCGAGTCAGTCTCCTCTGTAAGTGAAAGGACCCCTAAGGACCTGAAGTAAACATCACACTTTGCAAAATGATACGGGAATCTATCAGCAACTTTTCTAGCGGACAAAATAAACAATCTCATGATATTTATGAGACTTTTCCAATTAACTCAGGCTCACCTTGTATGCTGTGAAGGAAAACCTTTAGTCCTGTCCTGAGCTGCTGGTCCTCAACCCTCTCCAGCTGTTTGAGAAATTTGTTTAGAGTTTTTTGCAAGCTTTCATGTCTTCTCACCTCAGCTCTAATTGCAGTCGAGTTAACAACTTTATTTGTGGTATTCATATTTAGACCAATGTGACTGCTTAAAAGGCATGGAGTTTCTCCTGTAACCCATCAGCATTTCCTGCCCGTTCTTTCATGTCAATGTCACGTACAGCAGCAAAAAGTTGTTCAAACTCTAAAGCATGCAGCTCAGAGCAGAAGTAGTTCTGCTTGCATGAATTTCCCCTCTCTCTCTCTCTCTCTCTCTCTCTCTCTCTCTCTCTTTCTGTTCAATTCACTTCCTGATTTTAAAAAGTGTCACCATCTCATAGGCTGCTCTCTCGCAAACAGGATTTTGTGGTAAATTCAAGACAACCGTTTCAAAAAATAGGGTTTCAAAAAGGCAGCCTCAAATGTATTATCAGATTTAGAGCTGGGATGGTAAAACCTCAGCACTGATAATGAGAAATAAATACATTATGAGGAAATTGCATGCTGTTTGACAGACAAGGGAATTTTTCATAAATGTCACATTTTGTGACATTAATACTGGGGGCAAGTGTTTACAGGTTTCTTTATTAAAAAAAAAAGTAATTTCACACAATTAATTAGGCCTAAGTATAAGAAATGTTGTTATCCCAATAATGCTTGGATTTTTTTAAATATCATATTACAGGGTTTTTAATATAAGGTTAAGTTAAGTGTCAATATGTAACAAATTATTTAATGTATGTGCCTAAACATAAATTGACATTCAAAAATAAACCTATCCTGAGAGATATTTACTGAACTGAAAAGTGTGACAATTAGTCTCAGCCTCCCCCATACAGTTCCATAAAATAAGAAGATATTTGGCATTTACGGGAATTTGTTGCACGAGATGAGAATACATACATAAACATAAATGTCGTAGTGTCTTCAGGCCTTCTTAGTGTCTGATGTAGAAAGGGCCTGTCTTTATCATCAGTCCTCAATGCAGCATCCTGTGTCTCACACGTCCGTGACGATAGAGGGCGGGGCGAACTGTGACGTTGTTTGTTGCTACTCTGCTCAACCAATGAAGCTCAAGCAGTAAACACGTGACGCTTCAGCGCTGGTTTAAATATCAGTCCACAAGGTTCAGGATTTACTATAATCTTTAAATCAGCGCCCCCTTATTATTACATCAGAAACAGTAATATTCAGAAGCGTTTAAAACAAATTCACGTTAAACATGAAAATGATAGCTTTGTGTGAAAATACATGAAAATACTTGGCTTTCATGAAGCACGCATGTTTGCAGACAGGAGAGCAAATGTACTATAAAATCGTCCATGATCATATCAAGGTTTTCAATTAAATGTCTTTAACTGAGTATGTTAACTAATTAACTTGGAACTACAGTATGAAAACATGCGCGTGGTATTTGCTATCAATATGATAATTTAGTGGGTTGATAATTTCGTGCTTAAAATATTAGAAAATAATAACTTAATTAATAATTTAATTAATAGCTGTGATATAAAACATTGCTATAAATGACAATTACATTTTAGACACATCCTTGATTTAAAACGATGTTAAGACTGGAAATTGAAGAAATATTTTGAGGGTTTTTTTTACACTCTGGCTGTTTGTAAAAATCTTAATATAGCAGGTTTTATTTCAGTGAAAATTATGTTTAAATTGTATGCTTAGGAAATTCCTACAAACAAAGCACATGAGTGAAACTTCTGCCGCTAGAGGGTCTGCGGCTCCGGTTGACGTCACCGGCTAGCTCAGCCCAGGCGATGGGAACCGATTTCCGCGAATCAGTTCTTTTGAAAAGTCATTTCAAAGAATCAATTAAAACGATTCAGTGATTCATTTATTTCATGACCCAAATTCGTCATCATCACGTCGTAGACATTCATTCAAAAAACGTTTCTGTTTTTTTTAACGTTTTATTTGAGGTTAATTAACAATGCAATTTATTGTGAATTCATGTGTCTTAGTTCAGTTTGCTGCAGCCGTGATTCATCTCATTATTTATTATAACCAAAAAATCATTTGCATTGGAATTAAACAAGATTCATTCAGTCGCTGACTCGCGTTTGGTACCGCGAATGATTCAGTTCAGTCGGTTTTGTGAACCGGTTTAATTGATTCATCAAAAGCATTCGACTGAAATGAACGAATCGGACATCGCTAGTGCTCACCACACGAGAAGAAGAGCAGTTTATAGCATACTCACATCAGCGAAAACAACATCAGCAGCACATCATTTCATCTCACCGGTAAATGCCTGAAGATTCAACATGGTTTGCGGAGGATTTACGTGCTCGAAAAACGCCCTCTGTTCGCTAAATGTAGTTTATATGGTGAGTCGTATGAATATATATATAGCTCAGCTAGCCTGTTAGCAACGGCTAATCCTGTAAAAAATACTTAACATTAAGTTCTACATTTATACTGGATATAATGCGTATTATGGACCTTTTTCCTTAATATTTACTCTCTTGGTCTCTTATTATTGCTTGGTCGTTGGTGAGGTCTTTTATTTATTGCTAACAGTAACGTAAGATGAATCAGCTAGCTAACGTTACTTATCGTCACAGGCTGTACTAGTTAAATCAAATATTATTGTTTTGCTGTTAGTAGTGAAAGAAAACATCGGTTTTATGTGTTAATATTAAGAATGTTTTTGTAGTTTGTTTTTTGTAGAATAATGATGTTTCGCCATGCAGTGTTGCATAATCGTCCTTATGTTTGTTTGTGTAATCTGTTTTTCATTAACTCGTTTTGTTTACTTTATGGATAAAGTGTATTTTTAAGTTATATACAAAATTTGTGTATTTATGTCTATTTCACGACCGATTAGACTGATTGCTCTGAAAGACTTTGGTCTGGCAGCTTCATGCATGTAACGTTATCTGTCAAAACTCAAATGTCATTTCAGATTTTGCCGAGTTAATATTCATGCTTGCTTAATATGATGCACACAGTACTGAGTCACTGATCATGTATCTATAATGCCTCTGACTCACATGCGATGACAATACTGGGTTAAGATCACAGTGGCACAGTCACACTCACACTCAGCCAAAAATGAAGGACGTTGCATTCAGCCAGAGCTGTAAATGAGAAGTGCTAAAAGACTTTGGGTGGTGTAGTGTAGATCTGTGCTAGTAACCCAAAGGTTAAAACCCTTTAAGGTAAAGACACTTAACCTCAGGTTACTCCACAGGGGCTACTTTTGCTATAAGTGTACTACTGTATGTCACAGAGCCCCAAATATGATCATCCTTGTGCTAGGGACCCCCATCCTAAATTTTAAAAGACAGCTATATATTTTCTTGTGTAAAGAACCAATTTATACTGTGAAAAAATAATATTATAAATATGTGTAAAATATTATTTATAACAAATATTATTGTTACATTATTTTTTTTCTATTCACTATAGTACTGTACTTTTAGATAATTTAGATTTCTCTTTCTTTAAAGCTGCAGTCCGTAGTTTTTCCTCTTTGTCGCCATCTGTGTTTGAAATCTGCAATTGCAGACATTCGCAGAATTATCAACTTATGTGAGTTGTGCCTCGACACGGCGCGGATGAATCTAACCAACATAATTTTCACCGGAAAATTTAATCTTAACAAGTAACATCCACTTTTGTTCTGACCAACTAAGGGGGAAAAAAGCATTGAAGTAAATGCGCTGATTAAATCTTCTGAAATTGTTAATGTTCAACATTGCATTGCGTGACTACATTTAATGCCCTTCTGATATTTATCCTTGTTTTAAAGCATGGGCCCGGTTGCAGTCTCTTCTTTTCTGTAGCCACTTCGAAGTCCAAACGAAGTCTTTTGCATTTTACAACGTATGAATCTCTAGTTGTCACTGGGGATTGTCGTTTGAACCTTTCTGGATCCGCTATCGAATTCAAATTGACATTCACCAGTACTACTGGAATTAAAAACATTATTAAAAGCTTACGGTTTTTAATCGAGCTAAGGCAAGCAGATGGGCTAGTTTTGAACACTGGCTGGTTATGTACTTGCTCAATTTATTTTGGATAATGTTTAATCCAAAAAAGTTACGGACTGGAGCTTTGGATTTTTTTATTTTCTTTGTTTGTTTCACTAATATATTTTATATTACTTTAATTTATTTGTTGTTTTACATTTTATCTCTTTTTTTTCCTAGCAGACCTAATTTATACTATGAAAAATAATATTATAAACATGTAAAATATTATTTTGACTAATTCATTTCTATTGTTAAAAGATTCTACATGCTAGTACTGTGCTGTTAGATTATTTACATTCCGTTCTTTCTCCTTTCTTTTGTTCCTTCTTTCGTTCCTTTGTTTGTTTTACTAAATTTATTTTGTTTAATCTTATTTTTATTTATTATTTCTCTTATAATTATTTTCTCAAAGTTTTTTCCCACTGACCCCCCTAGTATTCCCTAGCAGAACCATTTACATTTACATTTTTCTCTACTCATAGTACTGTACTGTTAGATTTTATTTATTGAAATGTATTTATTAATATTTACTCATTTAAATTAATAATTTATTTATGTGTTTAATCTTACTTTCATTTTTTTTATTTACAGTTTTACTCTTAAGTTTTCCACGGGCTCCCTAGAACTCCATTGTGGACCCTAGTTGGAAAACCCTTCTGTAAATCACTTTACAATTGAGTAAAATCATTAATTAAATATGCAGTTTGCACAGAATCCATCACTCAGACCATTTTATGGTGTATTTGACTTGGTTTTGGTTCACAATGTTCTTCATAATGTCATAATCGTACCCCTCATGCTGGCATTTAAGGAGGGACTGTGTGTGTACACTGTGTACATTGTTCGGCGCTGGGTTTGGCGCGTGATATGCTGCCCATGTGCTGCTGTTTGGTAAATATGTTGCTCTCTGGACCTGCAATCTTTATCCTGCTGCCCTTTGCTTTGGGTTATATAGATTCCAGACAAACCCTTGAACTGCAGATTGACACTAGTCACAGCTTAGCTTGTTGAAAGGAAGTGAAGTAGACTTGACTTGTTTCATGTTGCTGTCGCAGTAGTTGTAATGAATTGAAACACAATATTAAGTACTCATCTTGATGTATATATTTTTTTTAACAACTGTAGACGTCACTTCAAGTCAACATTAAATCAACTTTGACCTTATTTACTGGTCTTATTGTGAATGCATTCCAGAGGAAAAGGTTTTTTTTTTCGTTTTTAAATCCTCCTCTCCAACTACCTGTCATATGGAGACCACGCCCAGCTAGCTTTTGGTTAACATGATAATAATGGTTAGTCCCTACTGATAGTCATAACTACACTATCTGTGGACAAAAAGCATATTTTCCATTCATAAGTTGCCAGCAGTTCTGGCAAAATAATTTTTGCAAGCGTCAAATGAACTGTAATTTATTTTATTTTAGATGTCTTGCCAGTGTACTATTTTTAACCTTTTAACTTACAATTGTAAGTTAAATTAAAAATGTATAAAAAAATGAAATGAATTAATTGAATTAAAATGAAAGTTAATTGTAACATACTTTGTTTTAGATGTCTTGCCAGTGTACTATTTTTATTGTATTTTATATGTATTTTTTAATCAACTCTATGGATAAAATCAGGTCCCTTTTTTCTCTCGTTAATTATGCTGTTCAACTAGCTAACATCATGTCACATTATGGAAGTAAAATGGGTTGTGAATGCCATTTCATGTTGACTTGAAGCGCAATATAGTGTTATTTCAGTTTGTACTGTTGTGACATGTTTCTGATTGGTCTCTTGTTTCATCCTCAGCTGGTGGGTCTTCTGTTGATTGTAGTAGCAGCATGGGGGAAAGGCTTTGGCATCGTCTCCAGCATCCACATCATTGGCGGCGTGATTGCCGTGGGCTTCTTTCTGCTTCTGATCTCCATTGTGGGGCTCATTGGAGCCGTCCACCATCACCAAGTCATGCTTTTCTTTGTATCCTTTAGCAGCCTTGTACTGCGTGCCTTTTGTAGTTCTATGCCCATAGAAATGGTGTTATAATTGTAAATATTTGAATAGTTCTCCCATCCGAAAGTTGTTAAGTCCTTGACAACAAATGCTTTTTGTACAGTACATGGTCATTCTCTTCATTGTCTTCCTCTTCCAGTTTGGAGTTTCTTGTTCTTGCCTGGCCATGAACCAGGGTCAGCAGGTAGGCCGAATTCATTTTAAAGCACACTTGTTGTTGTTGTTGCACAATTGTTTGTTGAGAAACTGAGAGTGATTCCTGGTTTTTCTCATGTCCCATTACCAAAACAGGAGAAGCTGCTGACCTCGTCCTGGAGAATAATGAGTAACGATACAAGAATAAGTCTTGAGAAAAAACTGGACTGCTGTGGCCTGTTCAACAACACTCATCCCCAGACAGATTTTGTGTCTGACTTAAACCTCTGTGAATCTGTAAGAATACCTTCTTTGTCTTCTCCTTTTTTGTTTTATTTTGGCTTTCTACCACCTTATTGAATAGATAAAGTTGAGAGAGGACAGGATTTTGAGAAAAGGGAGATACGATGAGCATGAGTCACAAAAAAAACGATCTCATGGTGCGTTCAAGTCATGTCAGAAAGATTGTATTTACGAGTTGAATGCACATGAACGCTACCACAATGTCCTTAATACGAGTGGGAAGCTCACGATTTTCTTTAAGCACCGATGTTTACGAGTTGGGACTTTCTACTTTCAGACAAACACAATTAGAGTTATACCAAAAAAATATCCTTGATATGATCCTTAATAGCTCTTCATACAGCTCCAAGGGGTTAATAAAGGCCTTCTGATGCGATATAAGCAAAATATCCATATTTAAAACTTTATAAACAAAAATAACTAGCAGATGGCCTACGCTAGTCGACTTGCGCCAAAAGAGTAACTTCTGATGCGATGTAGAAGTAGCGTAAGCTTTGACGCCGTTCAAACAAATAGGGCTGGGCAACAAACTCAAGCGCCTCTTCTCTTATATCAAAATCCTCTGATATTAATCTTTAAAATTCTCATTTTAGACATCTAACTCTTGACTCTTAACTTTTGGGTAAGCTAACCCTAAAGGTATTTAGCATTGATATTGTCAGGCTTTTCTATTTATAACGAAGTAAGCTAATTACCTACATAAAATATGAGAGCATTGTAATATAACAACAAAATATGTAACGATAAAGTTTACAGTGGCTTCATAAATTAATTAAAAACATTAAAAAGCAAAACGCATCTGATCCACATTCGTGTTCTTAATTTTCTCGAAGTATAGAGTTAAAAACCTTGCTGTATTTTTGTGTAGTTAATTAAAAGAGTCTACACCGCCATCTTACTCCGACGAAAATAACTTGAACGCACCTGGTGTCGTAAACACGTCTTCCCACCTCGTAAATATGAACTTCCCATGAGGAATTGAATGCACCATTATTCTAGCAAAGAACTGTCACTTAAGCCCAGTATACTTTGGGTTTCGGCGTATCGCGACGGTCCACGTGACATAATTTTCGTCATTGGGAGTGTCCGCGGACGGTGTGTGTACGACAGGACATGCACAAGGTAAATGTTGAGACAGAAGAGTCCACTATAGGTGACAATATGCACAGTTGTGATGTACTGTGCAGTAGCCGAAAAAGAGTGCGGTTCAAAGAGTGATAGAAAACCGTAAACACAGCATATCCTTCTTTTTGTTTTGGTTCTTGTTCTAAACTTTGCATATGCAGTGAAGGATCCGCTACTTTACTTCTATCCATCCTTACACGACTCTGACGTCTGGTAGAGTATAAAAAAAAGCAATTGTACTTTGCATGCGTGTAGAACTTGTCCGTCCGCGCTCATCCGTGGTTGAGTAAACTGTGTGGACACGGCTGTGCGCAAGACAGAGCAGAATAAGGGAAAATGAAGTGAACCCGGGCATTTAGACAGGAAGAAATGGTCTGACCCAACAGGTAAAGGGTCACACTACTGTTTATTTTGTTCTAAGATGAACAGTGAATGGACCATTTATTTCTGATGATGACCTGTAGATGTGAAAAATGAGAGAATAACACCCTGCTTTCTTTTCCCGCAGCTATGTGTAGGAAAGAAATCCTGCCTCACCTGCGGTGAAAAGATGCTCCAACATTCATCAGAAGCTCTGAAGATTCTGGGAGGAGTCGGCCTCTTTTTCAGCTTCACAGAGGTCAGTTCAGATCACATGCTGTGTGGGCCGCACGTGAATGCCACAAAAAAGTTGAAAACTGGAGATCTGGACTTCTTTTTTGTCCTGTCTTTCCGAGGTCTGGGCATGTTAGTTAGAGAATAAAGCTTGAAATAAATTGTAATTGATCATAAATAAGTTGTAATTAAGAAAGTGGCGTCCTACAAAAAAATACATTTACAAACTACATCTTCATTAGAAGGGTAAAATACATTAAAAAGTATCAATTACACATTCTTCATTTTAGTTTATTTTCTATTTTTATTTCAGTTTTAGTCATTTTTCTAGTAATTTAATTGTATCTCAACTTTATTTTATTTCAGTAAGTTCCCAAGGTTTCGTTTAAGTTCATATTCATCTAATATTTGTTTTTTTTATTTTAGCTTTATTTTTACTAAAATATTATTTTTATCTTTATATTTATTTTTATAACAAACAAATTAACACAATTGTTTCTTTATTTCTAATAACAATTTTTTAAAATAGTTTTAGTTAACAATACTAACACAAACATACACACAATATGTTACTGTATGTATGTGTGTGTATATATACTGTGTGTATATATACACATTTAAATAATGTTAGAATATATATAATATTACTGAATATATATATTTATTGAACATTGAACATGGATCTCTTTTAAAATATTTCTGATATAGCCTATAAATAAGTCACTTCCAGTCATGCATTAGTGTTAATTTGCCTGTAATGATAAAATCATTTTATCACATTGACTTTGTCTCATTAATAGCTATATATTAAACTCCAGAACTGTATTTATAATATTTTTTTCCCCCTTTTTTTCTCAGATCTTAGGAGTTTGGCTGGCCATGCGCTACAGGAACCAAAAGGACCCGAGAGCGAACCCCAGTGCTTTCTTATAGTCTCTCAGACCGTCTGTCCTAAACTACGTTGAGTGTAGTCCAGCTATTCCAGTTCCCTTTTGCACAGGTAGAGTGGAGCGCACCAAGAGACATTTCAAGCATTAAACACAGATCCCCGACACCCCGTTCAGAACACACAAGATAACGCACCACACTCCACATACAAACACATCCATTTTGATGATAGATCTGACCCATTTTCCACACAAGGTCTGCAGAGGGCTAATTTAAACCAGCAGGAGGAGGGATCATGTATGATAGGATGCTCGTTCTGGCACTCCCTCCATCCTTGATGTGAGAAGCTCTTCCTGTTCTGTGTATGCAAACCGAAAATCTGCAATGTAAAAGCCATCGATGTCTGCATGTTCATAGCCTCAGAATAGTTTCCTGTGACATGGTCAGCTCACTTATGGACACATAACCAGGTATGTAGTGCTGAAATAGATTCAGAAAGTTATCCCACATCAACTATATTAATGTTTAGTATCAGTTAGGGTGAAATTCTGTCGCGTATCTCCCAGGAAAACAGCATCCAGGTCTGCCTCGAATGAGTGCAGACCTGATAAACACCGGTGTTTTGTGCAATGCTTTATGGAATCCGTCTCAATGAGGTGACCTGTCCAGCCTATGGGGTGTTAGTTTAGGAATTAGACGTAGAACGTGAATATTTAAAAAAAAGAAAATAAAAACTTGTGTAACTGAGCCATGTGAATAGGAGGATTTACCCTGCCGACGGACTGCAGCCTTCCTGTTGTACATATAGTGACAGGGTCGACGACGTTCACCGATTTACCGCTTCTTTTCCATCCTTATTTAAAACACAGAGACCCTACCGCCTCAGCCGGGCCTTGCTATTCTCACTGGACTTTTTAAGTTCTCCATTTCCTTTGAAGCTTAGTATTACTCAAGGATATAATGTTTTAAAATCGAATGCATTGTTTTGTGGATGTTTGTGTTGAAATAAGCTCGGCGTGCCATTTATTTCCAATCATGTATCGCTTCTTTTCAGCAATTTTTAAAAACTGTACTAACAGCACTATAGGTCCATAATTTTAGCACTGAATAATGTGCCATTTCAATTCAAATCCTTCTTATTTTGTGTTTTGCCAAAATCTCTCTCTCGGTTTATGTTGCATTTCTAATTTTTTCTTGTTTTGTGCTATAAGTGTTAAGTTGCCATTCACTGTGTGCGTTTTTTTTTTTTTGCAATGTTGAACATTGTTATTGTAGTAAATAGATCATTTGTAATAGCTTATGCGCACGTGCATATGTTGATTCCATATGTCCAATATGTTCTTGTGTTAATTTGCTTACTCATATTAATAGAGGAACATATTGGCTAATACTCTCAACCACTTTGGTTTCCACCCCGCATGATCGAGAAAATGGGAACACTGAACCATCACTCAGTACAGCTCAGATGTGTTCTGCTTCACTTGGTCATGGTATTATGAGTGTTTCACTGATGGATTTTGAAGAGGTGAAATCAATGTCTGTGCTATAATAGTTATTTATTGCCATTGTGAGAAGGCCACAGTACCCGACTCAGTGAGCTGTAAGCACCCTTTCCCCTGGATTTGCCTTGTATTTTTGAAACTGACTTTTCCAATTAAATATTCTAAGATCAATACCTGTGCAATTCTTTTTTCTTCTTCTTCTTCATGCATTCATCATGAGTTGTTTCTCAACTGGTTTTGCGTCCAAACCCAGTTTCAGAGCAGTTTGCACTCAACGAATAAGCAAATTCTTATTGTTGATGAATTATGAATATTTATCTTATAGTGTTTATATTATACTTTCAAAGTCGCATTTCTAAAAAGCGAAGCTGCGTTATACATTGCTTTGACTCATCGATTTTTTTCTTTAATAATGGTTTAAAGGCTGAAATGTAAGTATTTTAGTTGTTGTCCTACTTCTACAAAGTGAATTTGAGTTTGCTGGGACACGCAGCCTTTGATGTCAACTGCAACAAATATGGGAAGTGTTTCTTCTCCATTTGAAAAGTTGATATGCTGGTTTTATTTAGCATTTATTTGAATTGTACAAGATTAATGTGCATTGTGACATTTTATTATTTGTATTTAGCTTTGTCTCCCCCCCAACAAAAAATGGGTTGCAACCTATCAGTTGACAACCACTGGATTAGAATATCAAAGCAAACTGCCATTTGTTGTCATTTACTTGAGCTGGAAATCACAAAAAAACAGCAGGTGTTTACAGTTCATAAATGCATTAGAGTTACAGCATTTTATTTCCACAACTAATAATCCGTTATGACAAAAAAATACTTTTTTTTCTTCTCCAGCTCAGTCTGTGAGATCACTTACTTCCTTTGTTTTCAATGTTAAGCTGCTTATTTTCTTGCAAACAACTTACACTAAGCTGTTATATATAGATAATGCAACTTGAGTAGGATGAGTGTGTAAAATGATTCATACAGGACCTGAAAAAATATTTCATGTTGTTATCTTACAAAATGTTCCCCTAGTGAGAGACAAAACACTGTTAGTTTGCTGTAAAGGTATTTTCTTGTTGCAATGTCTCTCAGAGACAAACGATTTCTTTGTGTAATACTCCACTTCAACTCTCAGCGTCAACAACAAACGTCCTGCTGTGTGTCTGCGGATTTATATTGTGGCCATGCTCTGTGATTTTACATCATGGGTGAAGTCATTATAAGGCAAGTGTCTTTGTATCTTAAAATGCACTGCCCTCATGTGGTGCCCACTGGAACATAAAGCAAAAGCAACAAACCCTTTATATATATGATCAAAAAAGCAAAGGCTGGTCTAATATGTAAAAGCTTCACATAGGTTTTCAAAAACGCAGGTGGGGGAAGATACAAAGGTCAGATGAATGTCTGCAGTATCATCTATGCAAAGCCTTCCTGTACTTGTTCAATCTTTGAATCTTATCATTTGCAAGTTGTCACCTCATTTGCACTGATGAGATTTAGCACATCAATAATTGTTGCCAGTGGCCACAACAAACAGATCGAACGCGTCACAGCTGAAACCATAAGCACGTCAGCTGGATTTAAAATGGAAGAACGGTGCATTTTAATGTTAGAGTTTTGTGTTCGAATTATATGCAAAAATGTACAGCTGATCTAATATTTTTTTTGTCTTTCTGTGCTTCTGGGTGCTTATGTTAGTCAAATGTGCACTGTAAGGTGTCTGGTTTCCTTGAGTTTCCGGTCAACAGGACTTAGGTCATGCTCAGCAAAGCGAACCCCTATCTTGTCAGCACACTCAGGCTCCAGGTTGGGACACGTGCCAGTTCTCCCTCCTTTCCATGAGTGTCCATATGCACAAACCAGTCTGACCACCTGTCAAGAGACAGATATAGCAAAAGGTCTATGAGATGTTTGAGAAGCAAGGGCCTAAATGTAGAAGTGCAACATATTGAGTGTTATGACCAGTAATGGGAAAACATCTCTGCATCCTGACCTGGTGTTGTCTGCTATGACCAATGCTATATTTGTTGGCTGAGTTTGATCCGGACAGATGATGGAGCGGATCGTGATTCCTCATGCAGATCCAGTCGGACAAACAGGAAGAGTAATCTCTCCCATCAGGACGGGGAGGCGAGCGGGTCAACAGCAGCATAAATAATGAAGACGGACCTGCTCGGCTGTCTGTGACCAGCATCGAGTGTGTGTACTGGACACTCCGATTGGTCAGCGTGACCTGTTTGGAGAGGACGGTCCTGGGACAGTGTTTGGAGTATTAAGCCAACCTGTGCACTTTCTAAACTCACTAAGCTTCATTTGAAATTTACATTCCAGGTTCAATTCAAGTTAATCTCAACCGACAGCATATGTGGCATAATATTGATTACTACAAAATGACTCATACCTCCTTTAAAAAAAAATTGACAGCAGCAAAGTTGTGAAATTGGATATTTTACACAAAGGGTTAGTGTTTTTTTTTTTCCCCCAAACTGAAATTATAGCACACATATTGTTTTTATCTTATGGCTATATTGAGTTTTTTTAGTCTTTATGAATTGTCCCCCTTTACTTCCATTGTAAGTATCTATCTATCATTCAGTCTAGCTTATTCAGTTTATCTATCTATATTTCTGTCTGTCTGTCTATCTTTCGTTCAGTCTATCTATCTATCTATCTATCTATCTATCTATCTATCTATCTATCTATCTATCTGTCTGTCTGTCTGTCTGTCTGTCTGTCTGTCTGTCTGTCTGTCTGTCTGTCTGTCTGTCTGTCTGTCTGTCTGTCTGTCTGTCTGTCTGTCTGTCTGTCTGTCTGTCTGTCTGTCTGTCTGTCTCTCAGTCTATCTATCGCTCAGTCTATCTATCTATCTATCTATCTATCTATCGTTCAGTCTATCTATCTATCTATCTATCTATCTATCTATCGTTCAGTCTATCTATCTATCTATCTATCTATCTATCTATCTATCTATCTATCGTTCAGTCTATCTATCTATCTATCTATCTATCTATCTATCGTTCAGTCTATCTATCTATCTATCTATCGTTCAGTCTATCTATCTATCTATCTATCTATCGTTCAGTCTATCTATCTATCTATCTATCTATCGTTCAGTCTATCTATCTATCTATCTATCTATCGTTCAGTCTATCTATCTATCTATCTATCTATCTATCTATCGTTCAGTCTATCTATCTATCTATCTATCGTTCAGTCTATCTATCTATCGTTCAGTCTATCGGATATACTATATTTGGATCGGCATATACGTCTGCGTGTTCTAGGTCCTGCCCTTATCCAGCAACTCGGACCCCCCCAATACAGTAAAACTGCACATTTTAGAGTGGCTTTTTATTGTGGACAGCCTAAGGCACACCTGTGCAATAATCATGCTGTCTAATCAGCATCTTGATATGCCACACCTGTGAGGTGGATGGATTATCTCGGCAAAGGAGAAGTGCTCACTAACACAGATTTAGACAGGTTTGTGTACAATATTTGAGAGAAATAGGCCTTTTGTGTACAAAGAAAAAGTCTTAGATCTTTGAGTTCAGCTCATTAAAAATGGGGGTAAAAACAAAAATGTTGTGTTTATAATTTTGTTCAGTGTATATGTATATATATATATATCTATAATGGTTTCAGTTGTGAAAGCCCATCAGTTGCATACATTGCATCTTTAGTGTCTCTTTAGTCTTCACCAGTGAGTGAGAACAAGGTATTAGAACTTTATCATATAAATATTTCCCAGGACGTGTCTGTCTGTATTAATGTACGTGTGTGCGTCCACTCACTTGGTTCCAGTTAAATTATTGATGTGCAAAACGGACACCCTATATGCCTCTGTGCAGCATAGTCATGACATAACAATAAATCAACAATATGTCTGTGCTGATTTGTTTGAGATTGATCTGTAGTGCCAGAGAGGACAGCAGTGAGTCTGACTCACTGTCCATTATAACTGATGAGGATTTATCAAAGTTATGCAAGTATGTTTATGTACAGTATAGCCCCATAAGTATTTTGTGTTTCAAGGAAGAAAATAAAGTCATATAGGTTTGGAACGACATGAAGGTGAGTAAATGATGACAGAATTGAATGTCATTTTATTAAATTACAAAATATCAAACCAAGTGGCATCTTAGTGAACTAACCTTATACTTACGTTTTGGCTTTTAATTAACCGTGGCAGTGATTTTTAGTGGATAAAGTCAGTTTCTTTTTTTAAAATCAAATTAACATGTTCCGTAGTTAAACCTGTTATTTTAAACTTTTTAAGAATTTTATAACGACAAATTACAACGTTTTTTTAAGTGTTCATGTGCTTTAAAAATGTCTTAAAAAAATCTAACTTGGTTTGATATTTAGCTGTTTAATAATATTTAATACATATTGATAGGGCTGTCAAATCAAGTAATCGTGATTAACCGGATCTAACATAAAAGTTTGTTTTTATATAATATATATAAAACACATATAATATATATATATATATATATATATATACACACACATATATATATATATACACACACACATATATATATATATATATACACTCACCGGCCACTTTATTAGGTACACCTGTCCAACTGCTCGTTAACACTTAATTTCTAAGCAGCCAATCACATGGCGGCAACTCAGTGCATTTAGGCATGTAGACATGGTCAAGACAATCTCCTGCAGTTCAAACCAAGCATCAGTATGGGGAAGAAAGTTGATTTGAGTGACTTTGAACGTGGCATGATTGTTGGTGCCAGAAGGGCTGGTCTGAGTATTTCAGAAACTGCTAATCTACTGGGATTTTCACGCACAACCATCTCTAGGGTTTACAGAGAATGGTCCGAAAAAGAAAAAACATCCAGTGAGCGGCAGTTCTGTGGGCGGAAATGCCTTGTTGATGCCAGAGGTCAGAGGAGAATGGCCAGACTGGTTCGAGCTGATAGAAGGGCAACAGTGACTGAAATAACCACTCGTTACAACCGAGGTATGCAGCAAAGCATTTGTGAAGCCACAACACGCACAACCTTGAGGCGGATGGGCTACAACAGCAGAAGACTCCACCGGGTACCACTCATCTCCACTACAAATAGGAAAAAGAGGCTACAATTTGCAAGAGCTCACCAAAATTGAACAGTTGAAGACTGGAAAAATGTTGCCTGGTCTGATGAGTCTCGATTTCTGTTGAGACATTCAGATGTTAGAGTCAGAATTTGGCGTAAACAGAATGAGAACATGGAACCATCATGCCTTGTTACCACTGTGCAGGCTGGTGGTGGTGGTGTAATGGTGTGGGGGATGTTTTCCTGGCACACTTTAGGCCCCTTAGTGCCAATTGGGCATCGTTTAAATGCCACGGCCTACCTGAGCATTGTTTCTGACCATGTCCATCCCTTTATGGCCACCATGTACCCATCCTCTGATGGCTACTTCCACCATGTCACAAAGCTCTAATCATTTCAAATTGGTTTCTTGAACATGACAATGAGTTCACTGTACTAAAATGGCCTCCACAGTCACCAGATCTCAACCCAATAGAGCATCTTTGGGATGTGGTGGAACGGGAGATTCGCGTCATGGATGTGCAGCCGACAAATCTGCGGCAACTGTGTGATGCCATCATGTCAATATGGACCAAACTCCCTGAGGAATGCTTCCAGCACCTTGTTGAATCTATGCCACGAAGAATTGAGGCAGTTCTGAAGGCAAAAGGGGGTCCAACCCGTTACTAGCATGGGGTACCTAATAAAGTGGCCGATGAGTGTATATATATATATACACATACATATATAGCCTAATATAATTATAAATATATCATATAAACAAACATTTATGTTAGATGCGATTTATCACGATTAATTGATTTGACAGCACTAACATATATAAATACAAACTCTTATGTTAGATGTTATTAATCACGATTAATCGATTCGACAGCAGTAACACATGTATTATATAAACAAACTTTTATGTTAGAGGACTAATTTTGATATTTGTAAGTGTACCTTTACGAATCACAGTAGTTGTAAATCTGTATCAGTATCAGTACATCAAGTAGGCAGTAATGAAAGAAACAATTGCCATTTCATTCTTCTAGCTTAACACAGTATGCAATAAATGTAATGGCTGAGTGTGAAAGATCAATTTTTAGGGCTGCCCTGGTAAGGCAAAAATTGACAAGAATCTCAATCAATAAACTGCATTAGAGTGCTGACCCTTCAGCTAAAGCATATCTTTAGGTCATGGATCAATCCTGCATTTTTTATGACCCTTTCATATTAAAAAAAAAAAAAAAAAAAATCATATTTGTTAGTTTTCTTCTATCTCCAGTAAAGTTGCCTGAGCTTGATCAGAGCACATAGGAGTAATTATGTTTTAATCTTTATACAAATTCTTCCACTTTATGTTGCATAGCAGGAATGAATGACCCGTTAAGCTAATTTATATTTCCCGCGTCTCTTTGACACGTAGGGGAAACGTCACGGCTAGAGATCAGCACCTTGGACAGCGGCGCCCGTCAAAAATCAGCACACTTGGATTCTCCCACGGGAGACTCGAGCAGGAGCGCGCACGGCAGCGAGACGCTTGTAAATGAATCATTTTGATTGGGCGAGAGCGCGCCTTGGAAACAAGGGCCGTGTGTTGATGCGCACGGCAGAACGTCCATTTCGAGGATGAATCAGAGGGGAGCAGCATCAGCATCAGCATCCCCATCACATTACGATCCACAGTATCAGCCGCCCCGACTGACTATCACACCCTGCGAAGAAGGAAAATAGGCGAATCTGCGCACGGTGCCTTTTATTTTTCCCTTTCTGGAAGCTCCATCTTCCTTTGAACGTGAACGTGGCGAGGAACCATATCGGGCCGGGAGGGGGATGGTGATGAACTTCAAATGGAGACGAGATGCTGGCATTTCCCCACTGCTCCTCAGCCCAAACTCCCATGATTATGATGGTTATTTTTTAAAACACCAACCTAATGGATTCTTCTGAGCTCTGTGTTTGGGATAGGAGGTGGCGTTGGAATATGTCAATGGGGAGATGCACAAGGAAATGATGTGAAAGCTTCGTCATGATGCCTCTGATGAACAATAAACAAAACTATAGGATTGCACATGAATCCAACTTCCAGCTCTTTTGGATTATGGTGTTATGCTGAAAGTTCCGCGACGATGACTGTATGTGGCAGTGATGCTCTGAAATGCCATTTTGCATCTTCCTCGTCTCTCATCCGTGCATCCAGGCTTTGGCTGGCTGGGAGTTTATGAAAATTACATCTCTTTAGAGCTGAAACAATGCATTGCTGGCTATTCATTGCAATACCATAGACGTATTATTGTCGACCTGTGATGATTGTAACAGCATTTAGAGAAACAACATCGGCCCTAACAAGCACATACATGCCATCAGACGGAAAACAACAAGCCCAGAGATTTTTCTGACCAATTACCTTTGGTTTGGACACTTTCCTCTGAGGCTTTAGGGTAGCAACTGCATTTCTGCCGAGTAAAATATTAATAATAGGCCTAAACGAATCAATAACAACAACAATACTAATAAAAACAATAATGCATCATAATAACAATATATAAAAATAACAAACACAACAATAATATAATCATTCTATATAATCATATTTTTCTGTTAACAATTAAACAATTTCGTTTCAGCCATATAACACACACATGTAGTCAAACATGTTCAAGAACCGGATCCGCATGTTTTTTAACGAACTGAAGGTGCTGGTTTTCATGCGATCCGGTTCTTCTCGACGCTCCGACAGTGACGCAGAGCCGAACAACAGACGCTCGGACAGAATGAGGGGGCTCGGGATGGGCGGCTGCGGATGGCCGCCCTTCGTTGACTGCTCCAGCCGCGATGATGAGGAAGAATACTACGGGAGCGACCCGAGGCCCAGGAGCCTGGCGTTTGAGGAGAAAGACCCGAAACTGCAGGCGGGCCTGGACGCGGTCAGCCTCACCAGCAGCACGGCCAGCGGCATGAGGACACCCCAGTGTCGAATCTGCTTCCAAGGGCCCGAGCAGGTACCTTTATTCCCACAATAACAAGGCCTGTGTGTGTGTATTTGCTTTATTTTTTTACGGCCATATTTACTATTTTAAATGTAAATGTGGGTGGTTGCTACACCATATTGCACATGCTGCTTGTTATTGTTACTATGAATTACTACAGATCCAAAGTGCATGTTGTTCATCAGCATTGCTCATTGATGTTACACTTTATTTTAAGGTGTCCTTGTTACAGTGTAATTATGCATTTAATACTGTGTGATAATAAGTAACTACATGTACTTACTATAGGGTTAGGATTGAGATTTTCTTTACGGTTAGTTGCATGTAATTATACATGATTTATAGTTATTACTACAGTAAATACAGGTAACATTAAGGTGTCCATGTAATTATGCATTTAAGTAGTCTACTGTGTGATAAATGATTAGGATTTGGATTAGGGTTAGTGGCATGTATTTATTCATATTACTACAGTAACTACATGTAACACGTGTAACAAGGACACTGTAAAATTAAGTGTTACCCTCATTTTTTCTCAATGCACTGACATATAATTAAAATAGAATTATGCACTCCAAAATATCTCCTTGCATAATGCACTTGTCCAAAAAAATTTTTTTTTGATGTAAATACACTTACATGAACACTTGGTAACACTTTATTTTACAGTGTCATTGTTACATGTTACATGCAGTTACAATAACTATAAATTATGCATAATTACAAGCAACTAACCCTAAACCAAACCAAACCCTAATCCTAACCCTATATTAAGTACATGTAGTTAGATGTATAATTAACAAAGACACCTTAAAATGAAGTGTAACCGAACACTTTAATATGATTGGTTACAATAATAATAATAATAATTAATTAAAAAAACGATTATACACAGAAAAAAAAAAATAAAAAAAAAAATAAAAAAAAGTTTTATCAAGAGAACTTTAACTGGAACACGGCTCAACTATTTGTGCAAATATGCATTTAGTATATGCATGATATTGTGTTTATTAATATTGTTCTGTAGTATTGCTTGCTTACAATAAATATAAATCACGTAAATTGTCTTAAAGTTGCAAGAAATTGTTGGTGAAGTATCGATAACATGTTTAGCTCACGGAACAAAGACCACCGGCAACACATGACCTAATAATGCATTTCTCTTTTAATGGGATACAGGTATGCCATTGGAGCGTGTCGATTTACAGGTTCACACAATTAACCTCTCTATTGCTTTTTTATGAGCAATAGACGTCTCTTTGTGGAAATGTATAGATCCTAGTGTGGATGTTAAAGCCTGAGGCTGATTCATTTGCAATGCAAAGACAGTTGTTCACACAGCCCATAAGCTGGATTCACATGGTCTGAAAGACTGAAATGTTTGGAAAAACAATAATAATTACATCTTGAATTCTTTTTTTTTTTAGTTGTAAAGATGTTCAGGAGTAAAATAGCTGTTGGTCGCTGATAGCTGATGATGGATGACCTGCTTGATTTGTCATCCGATGAGCTGAACGTCTGTATGAGTGTAATCAGATTCTCATGGATAAATCAGCGTGCGTTTGTATTTGGATCGTATAGGCGGAACACAGGATGGATGTTTGGTCAGCAGCCAAGCTGCGAAACAACAGATGTGCGAAGCCTGTAAAGCTCGTCTGCCGCAAGTTAGCCGTAGACATGAGCTAATATGGAGAGATGTTGGTGATGTACCAACACTATCCATCTGGCAGTCCATCTGATTATGTCAGCCTCGGTGTCTGTTTTCAATGCGAGATGCATTTGAGTGTAAGCCTGCCTCTCAGGTAGATTGTTTAGTGAGCTGTTGAAAGTGCCGGACTGACAGAAAAAAAACAGCCACTAGAATAAAGACATAAGGAGTTCGCTGTCAGGATTTTTCAGGGTCTGTTTGAGTATGCCATTCAGTGTTATTGTACTTTAGATGGTCATAACTGCACCATTTGGCAGAATTAAAGCGATAGTTCAACCAAAAATGGCAATTCTGTCATTTACTTACACTTAAGTCATTCCAAATCTACATGACTTTGTGCAAGAAAAAAAGAAAAAAAAAAGAAAAGAAAATATTTTTAGGAACATTGTACTCTAAAACAACATTGGACCCCATTGACTTTCATTGCAAAAAAAAAGAAAAAAAAAAGAAAGAAAATATTTTTAGGAACATTGTACTCTAAAACAACATTGGACCCCATTGACTTTCATTGCAAAAAAAGAAAAAAAAAAAGAAAGAAAATATTTTTAGGACCATTGTACTCTAAAACAACATTGGACCCCATTGACTTTCATTGCAAAAAAAAGAAAGAAAAAAAAGTAATTATTTTTAGGAACATTGTACTCTAAACCAACATTGGACCCCATTGACTTTCATTGCAAAAAAAAGAAAGAAAAAAAAGTAATTATTTTTAGGAACATTGTACTCTAAACCAACATTGGACCCCATTGACTTTCTATTATATAATTTATAAAAAATTTTTTTTATATATATATTTAAGATATAATATTTTAGAATATTTTTCCCTGTTTGCTACCTTTGACATCACAGCTCAAGATAATTTTCTAGAAAATTGCCCGTGCTATTTCGGGCTGTAAGATTTAAGGGGAAAAATGTAATTGCAGTTTTTCAAATAAAAATTGCAATTGTGATTAAAAATGCAATTAAAAGCTCCCCGGTTTGCTGTGTTTGTTTGTAGGGCTGCACAAATTGATTATATATCCATATGACAACAATATCATAATAATTATGTTATAAATAATTATTTTTTTCTTAAATACTCAATATTATTTTACAGTGCTGTGTTTTCTTCTTATTTTTGCAAGCACAAAATTAAAACGCTTCATTATATTATTGTAGATATTTTACCAGTGCCTGATTCTATTAAATGATCTCATATATATTTATTAACAATATCTAAAAATGTGATTATAATATTTTTTCCTTGTTTGCTGCCTTTGACGTCACATCTCTATTTCGTGATTAGTCAGCATTTGCGGCTCAGGTGATTGGCTCACGACCCGACTGCATAGTGATGTCACGTTTCAAATGGCCACACTGCTGTATAGATGGATGATAATGCAAACATACAGCTCCAGGAATGATAGACCTCCTTGCTTTAAACATGAAAGGGGGGTGTGTGATATCAGTCCTCATTACTCAGAGCTTCTGGAACATGTAAAATGAGTTGTTTTGATGTGTTTGTGCTTGATACCAGCTCTAATCAGATGAAGCTGAGAGGGATTTTGAATAATATTTCACTGATCGTGATCTGCCATGATGCTGCCGTCTCTTTTCACACATGAAACAAAGCTTTTTGTTCATGATTACTATGTGGAGAGAATGATTTGAGCGCTGCTTACGGATGTAGAGACGTTAGGCTGGATGTTCTGCTTGATTTTGGCCTGGGATCTCTGATAACAGCTAGATACACTGAACCAACAAGAGGAGGACAGGCTGTACTTTAAAGCACAGTATGACTCATCTAACTAGGTCCACTTATTGTAACGCTCACATTGATCAGACTGGACAGACTCGTGATGTCAACTGTACTGGAGAACTTGACGGGAAATGTGCAGGAGAGATACTGTTGGGTTCAGAGGTGAAAATGCTTCTGTTTTTGCATTCTTTAATTAGATGCAAAACTGGAGATTTTGAATTCGAATATAAGTGAAAGGTTGAGAAAATAATATATGAATTGCCATTTGATAGTCAGCGACAAGTTAATATGATCCAAACATTTTCTCCAGCATGATTGTGCCTTAATGGAAGCAAAAAAGCCCATAAATTAAATATTTCGTATTCATTTTATGTGATTAAGTTTAAAATGTTCAAACTTAACATTTATTTATTTTCACAATAAAATTAATTACATTTATTTATTTTATTAAAAAATTAAGTTTAAATGTAATTAATGAAACTTAAAAAAATATATAGATTTTAATACATTTTTATTGACTCATAATAATAAACTTTTAATTAAATGTATATATTTTTTCAGATTTTTATTGCAGACACAGTAGATCCAGAGTAGTGGCGAGTAAAAGCCCGATCTCGTTACTGGCCCGCTTCTGTGTTTATCAGACAAATTGAGATGAACACATTATAAATCTGTGTTTCTTCTCAGAATCAATAGTGATTATTAAGCTTAAAGTGGTTCTCATTCTAGTCACACCTCAAAATCGCATTTAGACACGCTGGTACCACAGTTAAAGAATCGATGCAATTAATGACCACAGATTGCTTTCCTCCGTTTTCTTCTTTTATGCCGCAGTACCTGAGTACTTCAGAAGCCATTCAGTCTTTCTCTAAAGATTATATCATTCTTACTGTCCTTTATCTCTGCCCCACAGTTGGACATCCTGTTCTTTATCCTCCACTTGTTATTCACATTGGATCTATTGAATGTTCTCTTGGCGGCTCTCTGAATGCTGCTCTTACATCTGTAATGTTAGTTGATTCATGGTTTCTTTTTGCTAAACATACCTGGCAGAGTCTGGATGCTGTATTATTAGTGGTTCTTCTTGCTCATACTTAGGGTTGAGGATTTGAACAAACCCCTAATCTTAGATATCATTTTTCTAGAAAATTGCACATGCTAGTTAGGGCTGCGAAGTCTGGGTAGAAAAAAAAAAAAAAGTTTTTCTGATAAAAAATTACAAATCCAATTAAAAAGCTACAGGTTTGCTGTGCTTGTTTGGCCAAAACGTTGTGATTATATATCAATATGAAAATATAATACTATTAAAAGTTATTATTATTTTGTTCTTAAAGGGATAGTTCACCCCAAAATGAAAATCCTGTCAGTAATTACTCGCCCTCATATTGTTCCAACCCCGTAAGACTTTCGTTCATCTTCGGAACACAAATTAAGATATTTTTGATTAAATCTGAGAGCTGGATCACTCCTCCATAGGCTTCTTAAAGGACAAGTTCGGTATTTTACACTTTAAGCCCTGTTTCAAGATCGTTTCTGATGAAATAGAATGGTTAAGATTAAAATTTGGACACATGCTGCTGGCCCGAGTTTTTGTCCAACTCCATTGACTTGGACAAAAACCTGTTGGAAAGCATCTTTTGCAGCGATTTTTGTGTATATTTTTGAGCATATCAGTGACCACTCGGTGAGTTTCACGTCTTTGTAAACTAAAGTTTAATGCGTTTTATGAAGGATTGTTCCAGTGCACCTATGCAACCATTGTTGGTTTCTGCAACCACAGAAACCGAAAATTCGAAAATTCTCGGGCCGGCAGCATGTGTCAAAATTTTAATCTTAACCGTTCTATTTCATCAGAAACGATCTTAAAACAGGGCTTTAAGTGTAAAATACCGAACTTGTCCTTTAAGGGATTGAAACTGTCCGGCCCAGAAAAGTTAAAGACATTGTTAAAATAGTCCAAATGACTACAGTGGCTCAATCTTAAATTGAGATTAACCTGAGATTTCACGTAGTGATATTGCGCAAACCTGTTGTACGTCTCACGTAGGCTCACTATTGGCCGACGCTGGTCATGTGTGTGATGCGTGTGACGTACAACCTAGAAGCTTTGCGCAGTTTCACTACGTGAAATCTCAAGGCCAACAGAGAAGGAAATTAATAGTTGAATAAAGTCGTTATTTTTGTTTGTTTTTTGCGCACAAAAAGTATTCTCGTCGCTTGATAAACTTAAGATTGAGCCACTGTAGTCACTCGGACTATTTTAACAATGTCTTTAATAACTTTTCTGGGCCGTCAAGTTTCAATCCTATGGAGGAGTGATCCAGCTCTCAGATTTAATCAAAAATATCTTAATTTGTGTTCCGAAGATGAACGAAAGTCTTACGGGGTGAGGGTGAGTAATTACTGACAGGATTTTCATTTTGGGGTGAACTATCTCTTTAAATACTCAACTTTTTTTTAAAATACCCCATTTTATTTTACAGTGAAATATTACAATAGTAATATGTATTATTTTGATTAATTTTATTATATAAATGAAAACACAATAGTAATAATAATAACATTTATAGCAGTCTTAATTCATTTTCAAACATCAAGATTTTATTTGGGCGGAAAACTGCAGGGAAAGCTTCAAGTTTTTCCTTTGTTGACAACAGCCTAGCAACCGCATAGCAACCACAGAATGCACCAGAGTGACAGTTTGCAAAAGCTGCTGCTTTCCCAATGAAATTTCTCAAAAGCTTTTCCCCGACAATCCCGGAGCTGCAGGACTTTCAGAGGTGTGTATTGATTGAGTGTCTGGATCAGTAGAGGAGAGAATAACTCACCCGTCTTTTAACTGCACACTCTTCAGATCCTCCACACGCTCATAAGTCTGCAGTCCAAAGCTCACGTCAGCAGCCGCATGCACACTGTGTCCGGGATCGATTTATCATTTGTTACGGCGGACAGGTTCATGAGTAATATCTCATTTACGTAAATCAACCGGACCACAGCACTGTCCCGGAGGGCAGTCCAGTCATGAGGATTGTTGGTTCTGCGGCGGCTGTAATGCAGCTTTAGGAGGCAACAGATGTCAGGACTGTAAAACCCATAGAGGCTTTCGGCAGATGTGTTGTGTTGTGATCCCACTGGATGCTCACGTGATTATCTGAGACTCTGGAAACCAACATCTTTGTTTGGAAGCAGTGACGAAATGAAATCGGAATGATTGTTTATGTTAGGCATAATATAAAACAGGAAAAATAGTTTCACCTGTAATGTTTTATTACACAAATCTCTTGGTTACTTGATTCTGATTGGTCAGTTGAACAGTTCACTTGTTTTCAACATTGATAATTAATAATCAGAAAGGTTTCTTGAGCAGCAAATCAGCATATTAGAATGATTTCTGAAGGATCATGTGACACTAGACGGGAGTAATAATGCTGGAAATACAGCGTTGCTATAGCAGGAATAAATGACGTTTTATAATATATATTCATACAGAAAACTGATATTTTACATTGTAATAATATTTCACAATATTACGATTTTTACTGTATTTTTGATCAAATAAATGCAACTTAGGTGAGCATAAGAACTCATTTCAAAAACATAAAAAATATTCTTACCAACCCCAAACTTTTGATTGGTAAAGTAAACATTTTTTGTTGGTAACACATTCGTTTAGTATAATTCTCATTATGAACTAGTGGCTTATTAGAATGCATATAACTAGGATATTTGCTGTTTATTAGTACTTAAAAATCACATATTAATGCCTTATTCTGCATGATTATATTATACATGCCTTAAAGGGATAGTTCACCCAAAAATGAAAATCCTGTCAGTAATTACTCTCCCTCACCCCGTAAGACTTTCGTTCATCTTCGGAACACAAATTAAGATATTTTTTATGAAATCTGAGAGCTGGATCACTCCTCCATAGGATTGAAACTTGACGGCCCAGAAAAGTTATTAAAGACATCGTTAATATAGTCCGAGTGACTACAGTGGGTCAATCTTAAGTTTATCAAGCGACGAGAATACTTTTTGTGCGCAAAAAACAAACAAAAATAACGACTTTATTCCACTATTCATTTCCTTCTCTGTGGGCCTCAGAGTGAGTTCAGGTAGTGTAACAGCGCAGCGCTTCTGTGTTGTACTTTAATCATACTCAATACCTAAACATAATAACTACCTTACTATTAATAAGCAGAAATTAGGAGTTTATTGAGGCAAAATTCATAGTTAGTTAATAGTGAGAATTAGACCCTAATCTAAAGTGTAATTTTTTAATTATTGAAAAATACAAGATATAATAGCATTGGTTACACTTTATTTAAAGGCGTCCGTGTTACAGTGTAATTATAAATGTAAGTACTGTGTAATAATTATTACAATAAGGTTAGGAGTAGGCCTAGGGGTTGGTTAGGGTTAGTTGCAATGTAATTATGCATAATATATAGTTATTACTACAGTAAATACATGTAACATGTGCAACAAGGACACTGCAAAATAAAGTGTTACCATAGCATTTCCATTTCAATTCACGTCTACATTTCCAAGTAAAACTGAATATGCCGCTGGAAATAATGCAGGTCTGGGACTTAATTGTGTTGCTCGGGATTTGACTGGATCATAATGTTAGGCTATGATATTTTTGGCTAATCTTATTTCTTCCTACTCACAGCCTTGGTGACACCAGCAGAAAATAGGCTATTTGAGAGGCAGAGAAAGCTATTATGATTGACAAAACATATTTTCCTGGCACAATAGACCTTATGTAGCTCCGCCTCTTTTCAGCGCTGCTCGTTGTGTTCGGTCTTCCGGGTTTGTATTTCCACAGCGTGAAGGAAAGATCTTACGGGTTTATGAATGAACCGCTCGTTTTAAAAATCTTCCCGGTCTACTGACATTTGTTCTGACATCCGCTTCAAACATTACAAAGCTCATGATAACTATAGTTAACTCTACAATAAGTAAATCCACTTAAAGGTACAATATGTAGGAATTTTGTAATGATAAAACATCCAAAAATCACTTGCACAGTGTGATATATTTCCTGGAGTTGTGTACTTACATAATATCCCAAAAGTCTCCAAAGATTTTTTATTTCAGAGAAATTCCAATTTTAAATAAGTGGCCGTCCCGGAAAAAAAATGTCGCCTGTCAATGACGCAATATCCGCGCTTTCCTCGGTTTCCGCTCGTACTGCCATAGCCATGACGTAACCATGGCGACAGACGTGGACAACTGTGTAGAGCGTAACGTTTAGCTGCACGCTGTTGTTGTTTCGTTCAATCATTATGGACCATGGCAAGCAGACTTTGGGACAAAAAAGGAGAACTAAAATGAGGATCAATATCAGCGTGGCGTTTTCGAGATGCCGAGAGCTCCACGTCCGCGACTAACTTGGAGCAACACTGCTCTTGCATATACTTTATTAGACAGGTTAGCAAATGTACATAAAACAAAAGGATGTATCTGTGTTTCCTTGCAACACATGCAACTGTCAATAATATCACTTATAAACAATGCGAGATACATACGCCTATATGACGTGACAGATCAATCATTATGCATATGTTGATTCACCTCAAAAACTATCAAGTGATCGTTATGCTGATGAAAATTCACAGTTATATTGCGCTTTGTACTTTGGTAATGCTTTTTATCACTTGTGTTTTGACCGAGATTATGGCAGTGCAATTAAATACAATCGGATGTGTTGTTAAACAATATTTAGCCATTACTTGCAAATGTTCGTTTAAATTTACTTTGAGTACGATTGGTTTGAACACGTAAAACAACACGGCATTAACCATAAACACGTAAAACTGCGCAGCATTAACCCAACAAATCATTTGACAAATAGCTGTAACAGGATAATATAGCATAACATTTCGCGTTCCTTGCAGTATTAATTCATTATGGTGACATAAAATATTGCGATCAGACGTACAGGTAATACAAAAACAAATAAAGTACCTCATCCGTGATCATGATTCATTAATTCCATAACATCTCTGGATGGTGAAAACGGCATCTCCCATCGTTCAACTCTCCCTCATAGCGTCACCAAGCTTCGCCTTTGTTATGGTTGGTAACTGCGCCCTCTTGTGGCGAAAAATTCTTACATATTGTACCTTTAACCAGTTGTTGAATCACTCTTCAACAGCGATGCCAATAGAAATATACAGAGCTGCCGCAAAAACGGAAGTTCAAAGACAAAAATCTAAAAATGGCGGCGCTCTTGTTTCTCTGGTGCATGAGGTCTATAAGTCCAGGAACATTTATTACAATAGTAGAGAGTACCATGTTTTGACTGTGTGTGTTCGTGCCTGCAGGGGGAGCTGTTGAGCCCGTGCCGCTGCGACGGCTCCGTGCGCTGCACACACCAGCCCTGCCTCATCCGCTGGATCAGTGAGAGAGGATCCTGGAGCTGTGAGCTCTGCTACTTCAAGTACCAAGTCCTGGCCATCAGCACCAAGAACCCGCTGCAGGTAAAGCGTCAGTTTGTGAAGTATCTGGGTCAGGGCTAAGCACCGGCTAGCATCTCTATTTATAGGCTTCTGCAAGCAAAGCGAGAAGATGCCATCTTATAGTGTTTTTTTAATGTTGTGTGTTTCAGTGGCAGGCGATTTCCCTGACGGTGATCGAGAAGGTGCAGATTGCCGCCATTATCCTGGGCTCACTCTTCCTCATCGCCAGTATCTCGTGGCTGGTGTGGTCTTCTCTCAGCCCGTCCGCCAAGTGGCAGCGCCAGGACCTGCTCTTCCAGATCTGCTACGGCATGTACGGCTTCATGGACATCGTGTGCATAGGTGAGGAATACAACCACATGGATAAATCAGTGCAAACACATGTTTGTTTTTGTAACGTTTAGGACCTCTTTTTGACTTCCTATATATAGACTAACTATAGACTAATATACACACATTTGCATATGATTGGATATGTGTAAATGTAAATTTGATTTATGGGAATTATGGGAAAATTATAGGAACTCTTTACGATTTGGTTTGCTAACAGTAGTTCATTTCTTTAGGTATCTTGAACTAACAATGAATGATAGATGGCTACCATGTTTAGATGGTTATGTTAATTTCTACATATGTTGATATATTTTAACATTACAATGAAACAATATTTTATTTTGTGAACAATAAATAGTATAAATATAATCTACTATTGTTAATAACTTTCATGATACTTTCGTTAACAATACATGAACTGATGATACTGATGTTAATTTATGCAATATATTATGTAAAATAGTTTTTATATTATTAAAAATTATGTTCATATAATTTTATATGCACATTTATATATGTATATGTCATTTGTAATAATTTTAATATAGTAAAGCATTAGGTATCTTGAACTAACAATGAACTATACTTTTTAAGCATGTATTAATCTTGAGTTGGTGCTAATTTCTACATACACTAATAGGCTATATTTTAATATGTTAATATTACAAAATAATAAGTTTGAGTATATCGTGAATGAACATCAGTTAAGTTGTTTATAGTAATATTCAAATGAATACAAAATAATTTAATTAAATATTTAAAAAAAATTGAATGTAAATGACCATTTACATAAACATTATATATTATTTTGATATATTTTTAATTTATATAAACATAATTTTAATAATACTTTAAAAAGTAATTAATTTTTGTTTTATTATATATATAATTTATGTAACGTATGTTACACGTATGATCATTTATGTTATATAACGTTACTATGTAAAATAATGCATATAAAATAATATATGTATATTTTTAATTTTAAAAAGTATTTTAGGGCTGGGCAACGATTAATCGCGATTAATCGCATCCAAAATAAAAGTTTGTGTTTGCATAATATATGTGTGTGTAGTGTGTATAATTATTTTGTATATATATAATTCACACACATACATGTATATATTTAAGAAAAATGTGTTATTAATATCAAATATTTATATTTATATATAATATTAATTATGTATAATATATATAAAGTATATACATGCAAATATTTCCTAAATATATACGTGCATGTGTGTGTATTTATATATACAAAATAATTATACACACGACACTACACACACATATATTATGCAAACACAAACTTTTATTTTGGATGCGATTAATCGCGATTAATCGTTGCCCGACCCCAATTTTTGAACTCAGGTTAATTTATGTGACATATTTATATTATAAAATAATATTAACCTAGTCCTAGATGAATAAATGCTGTTAGAAATCCTGTTCATTGTTAGTTCATGATACCTAGTGCATTTTCTCATGTAGCCTAAACAATTGAACCTTTTTGTAAAGTGTTTTGTAAAGAATCAATAAGTAACATCCCCTGATCTGTAATTCCCAACAGGCCTTATAATCCACGAGGGCTCATCCGTGTACAGAATCTTCAAGCGATGGCAAGCTGTAAACCAGCAGTGGAAAGTATTGAACTATGAGAAGGCGAAGGACTTGGGAGACCCGCTGAGCTCCAGCAGTAAGGCAGGCAACCGCGGCTCCCGCAGCAACACGCACGGCCTGGCCAGCGGCAGCAGGGGGGGCCAGCGAGTGCGCAGGTTAAGGACTATCCTCAACCACCACTGCGGATACACCATCCTCCACATCCTCAGTCAACTGCGGCCCAGCGACCCGCGGCTCGGCACCGCCACCAACCGCGAGGTGGTCATGCGCGTCACGACCGTATGAGGTCGGGAAAAAAGATGCCACCGCGTTTCAGGCTCCAAGCGCCTTTTCCTGGAAAAGACCGTTTTTTTCCTTGCATTACGTCTCACTTGGACTTTTTAAACGGACAGGAGCGCGACGAACAATGCGTAAGACATTGGCGCCATTCATTCCTGGAGTTTCTATTGGCGAGACTCTCATGATCTAGCACACTATTGCATTTTTAGTTCGATTTCCTCGCTGGTGTTGTTTTTTTATCGATGCGGTTTTTAAAACTTTTTGATTTTCTAAGGGAGAATGGTACATGAAGTGACACCGACATGTGATGTATATGGCGACTCATATGGACCTATTGTAAATGATGTTTACGGATGCTTCTGACGCAGCAAGAAAGCCAACCATAACCAAACGATCACGACACAATAACCAGGGAAACGAGATACGAATTGTTACATACTAAAATATATCAAAGGGGAGGGTGCAATAAGACATAATAAGATTATACAGAGAATTAAAAAGACGTAAACATTTAAAAGAATTTGATCTTCTCTGCAATAAAGATACCTGTACATTTTACAGTGACCTTTGCATGAGGGTAGAGTTTTATGCCTCCTCGACACATGGACATGATGAATTTGTTTTATTCAGAATGGTGCTCGTTTGAATAAACACTACTATTCATCTGTTGTTTGTGAAATGCATCATCACACAAAGGCTTTTGTTCGTTTAAGTGGGTTCCTCTTACAGACACACACACCTACAGTACACCACTTCTTTTGTTTGCAGAACTTTCATTTGAATATGAACACCAGTGAATTACAATCATTTTTATCATAACGCACAAGTAACATTGCTAAATGCACCTTGATTTGAAAGGACGTTTGATAAGCCTTAGTATTCGAAATGCAATGAGTTGAGCGCGAACAGAATTTGTCATAATGTTAATTAACACTTCTTAAAAACAAACAACAACAACAATGGAAGTAAATGCAGACATTTTTTGGAGGATTCAAAAGAATATAATTGCATGATTTATTTTATAAAGCGGTTAGAAATTCAAAACTTACCTCTTAAAAGAAATTCCAGGAGCTCAATTGACAAAATGTGTTTCATAATGTTGATTATTATATTATTTTTTTTAAAAATGAATGTGCCCTCATAATCTTTACTGTAATGAGGGCGGGGCAACCTGTCACTCACATGAGTTCCACCAATAGCAAACCACAACCATCCAATCAATTCCCCATGGACAAAATCACGTTCAGAGAAGCCGTTTCACTCGGATATACAATATTACAATAGGGAAGAAAACATTATCACAACTTTGAAGGAAAATTCTGAGTGCAATATGTTACGTTTAATTGACTAAATGTGTTGCATAATGTTGATTACCACAAAAATCTGCAAAAATCAACATTATGCATAACATTGCGTCAATTAGACTAAACATATTGAACCCGGAAGTTTCCGTTAACAAGGAATTTTGTTTTTTTCAGTGTAAAGGTGGTCACATTTACCACTGTTCTGTGAATTTTCTCAAATCCAGTCATTTCAATAGAAATCCACACAGGGTGAACGCTTTTCCCATGAAGTTTTCGCACCGGGTTCAAGTTGGTCATACAGATTTGTTGCGTTGACCAACATAAATCTGCTTGGTTTGAAAGTGAGCTGTGCTTTGTTCATCGCTACGCTATTTATTTCCTACGAAATTTTGCTAAAGTGACGGCTTCTACCATTTGGGTGTTTGCAAACAGTCATGACGTGTTTTACCCGGTGGCAGAACATGACAGTTTTGAAGTTGCAGTCTATGGAAGCCACGGAATATAAAAGATAATTTTGAGTTTATATCTCACAATTCTAAAAAGAAAATCAGAATTGAAAGATATAAACTCAATATTCCGTCCTTTTACCTTAAAATTGTGACTCTCACACGCTTCTTTATAAATAAAACAACCATCAGCGGCCAATTTTCCACACCACAAACTGACACACACATCTTAACAGCTAACACACACATTCCCCCTCCTCCTCTCCGCTCTCGGAGGCAGAAGTCTCCAAGCTGATCCTTTCCAATCCCACTACTACCTGTCCGCTTGATCCCATTTCTTCTTCAGTCGTACCTGCACTCACTCACATCATCTACACCTCTCTTTACACTGGTACATTTCCCACAACATTTAAGCAGGCTCGGATAACCCAATTGCTCAAGAAACCCACTCTAAATCCAGCACTTTTAGAAAACTACAGATCCCTTCTTCCATTTATTGCTAAGACACTTGAACGAGTCGCGTTCAACCAAGTGTCTTCCTTTCTTACACAGAACAACCACCTGGATAACAACCAGTCTGGTTTCAAAAGCGGCCGCTCAACTGAGACTGCCCTGCTCTCGGTTATTGAAGCTCTGAGACTGGCAAGAGCAGCTTCCGAATCCTCAGTACTCATCTTGCTGGATCTGTCTGCTGTTTTGACACCCTCATGACGAAGGGGATCTTAGGATCCGCACTCCAGTGGTTGAAGTCTTACCTCTCGGGTAGGTCCTTCAGAGTGCCGTGGAAGGGTGAGGTGTCTAAGTCGCAACATCTAGCTACTGGGGTGCCTCAGGGCTCAGTACTTGGACCACTTCTCTTCTCCATCTACATGTCATCACTAGGATCTGTCATTCAGAAACATGTTTTTTCCTATCACTGCTATGCTGATGAAACACAACTCTACCTCTCATTCCAACCAGAGGTTTCGACGGTAGCTGTTCGCATCTCAGCCTGCCTGACAGAAATTTCTTGCTGGATGAAGGACCGCCATATTTTACTCAACCTTGCAAAGACAAAACTACTTGTGGTCTCAGCCAACCCAACACTTCATCTGGTCAACCATAACTCCATCCAGGAAAACCAGAAACCTTGGAGTTGTGATTGAACTTCACAGACCACATTGCTAGAACGCCCTGGTCCTGCAAGTGAACGGCGCCTTGTGGTGCCATCCCAAAAAGGCATAAAATCACTTTCACGGACCTTCACCTTGACTGGTGGAATGACCTGCCCAACTTAACCTAACAAACACTGGTAGTGTTGTACAACAGGTGCAATTTCTATGATATTATACAGAATATTTTCATGGATCATGGCTCAATATTGAGCTGTTTTGTAGTTTCAACCCTCTCAGGTAAAAACACGTGTGAAGCCAACAAACAAATCTCATACTGTGTCTTGACCTTGATCCGATGCATCTTTGCTTTAGTGCTTCATAGATTATCACTCCAGGCTCCAAGCATGAGGTCTCCTGGGTGCCACTATCATTGGGCGGCCCTTGCAGAGGTCACAGCGCTTCAGGGAGGGCATCTGTCACATGCGTTCACCTGGCAGATGTGTGTCAACGCCAGAAACCCACTGCGAGTCCTCTCACAATGTCACACCACTGAAACATCCAAAGACAGCAGCAGCAGTGTCTAAAGAGTTTAAAAGATGTGTGAGATTAGAATATGCAGTCGTTGTGTTCAACCGTCCATATGCTTATATTTACGATTTAAAGATCTTGGCAAGCAAATTGCTTAATATTTGGCTTTACTTGAGAACAAATTAGTATTTAGAAATGCACATGGTCCCTGGAACCATTCAGGAGCTACATTCAGGAAAAAGGCATTCGATTTTAAGAAAAAAAAAGGTAATTGTGGCTTTATATCTCGCAATTCTGACTTTTTTCCCCTCTCAGAATTAGACTTTTTTTTCTCACAATTTTGAGTTTACATTTCACAGTTATGAAAACAAAATGAATTGCTGGACATAAACTCATAATTGTAAGAAGAATAGTCATAATTCTGAGATAAAAAGTCGCAATTTCCTTTTGTTTTTTTTATTCTGTGGGCGAAACAAGCCTCCAAAAGGTCTCATTATTTAACATTAGTTTAACAAATTAACATTAAGCAACAATGAGCAATACATTTGTTAGTTTTTATCTTCGTTAATGTTAGTTAACAAAAATACAATTGTTCGATGTTCGGTCATGTCAGCTGAGGTCCATTAAATAATTTTATCAGATACAACTTTCGATTTTAATAATGTAGGTATTAGTAAATGCAGAAATTAACATCAACTAAGATTAATAAATGCTTTAGAATTTTTTCATTGTTAATTCATATTTGCTAATGTAGTGTTAACAAATGAAACCTTGTAAAGCGTTACTAATTTGAGTTCAAACTGGAAAGGTATATTTTATTATACTAGTAGCAGCCTCATATAAATAAACTGTAGGAAATATTTATTACAAATATTATTAGATACAGGGCTGCCACAGCTATGAAAATATTTTGTTTTTGTTTTAAATGGTGTTTTACAGGCCTGGAAAAGTTATGGAAGTTTATATAGCAAATACATACAGTAAATATATTTATTTTTTCAAGTAATGCTTGGCTAAATATTGGCCTTAAATAAACTAAAATGTTTTATTCAGCAAATAGTTGGTTGTTGATAAATTGGTCAAACTGATTCACAAATTGGTCTAAAAGACTAAATTCGAGGAATTTGAATGATTTAAAAAATGTATCCAATAACTACAAATACTGACACACACTCACCTAAAGGATTATTAGGAACACCTGTTCAATTTCTCATTAATGCAATTATCTAATCAACCAATCACATGGCAGTTGCTTCAATGCATTTAGGGGTGTGTTCCTGGTCAAGACAATCTCCTGAACTCCAAACTGAATGTCAGAATGGGAAAGAAAGGTGATTTAAGCAATTTTGAGCGTGGCATGTTGTTGGTGCCAGGCGGGCCGGTCTGAGTATTTCACAATCTGCTCAGTTACTGGGATTTTCACGCACAGCCATTTCTAGGGTTTACAAAGAATGGTGTGAAAAGGGAAAAACATCCAGTATGCGGCAGTCCTGTGGGCGAAAATGCCTTGTTGATGCCATAGGTCAGTGGAGAATGGGCCGACTGATTCAAGCTGATAGAAGAGCAACTTTGACTGAAATAACCACTCGTTACAACCGAGGTATGCAGCAAAGCATTTGTGAAGCCACAACACGCACAACCTTGAGGCGGATGGGCTACAACAGCAGAAGACCCCACCGGGTACCACTCATC